CTCTACGGGCCTCTGCATGATGAATCATCAACGCTCAGGGTGGGGACAGACAGCCCATCTCAGTATGGAGAGCAGTTCACAACACATGTAGACCTTTCATCTCATCATGGTAACTTTCTTCCTTGTGACAGGTAGGCCTTCATTTTCTGCTGCATAGTCTATGCTACAGTAATAGAAAGACCGAATGCACGTCTAATTTACCCATCTCCATCTAGCTTTCAGGGGGTCACCTTAGTTTTTAATTGTAAAGATGTTATATTTATTATTGCAGCTGCCGTTTTTAAAACAGCCTAAATCACTCGAATATAGTTGCTTTAAAATCAGTGCACGCGCGAGCCCTCTTCCTCTCTCTCATCAAGTCACCATCAACTCCATTCAAATTGCATCCAAAATAGATAATTCTGTTCTAGATTGATATATAGCCCTATATATAGATGTCCTACCCTACATCTTAATGGTAGTAAATAAAATGCATTATTAGCCTTATATTTAGCTAATTAATGATGGGTTACGCACAATAAGCTTTAATTTATAGCCTGTCTCTTGCGCAACACTCACACACTGGCCTCTCTTTATAAAACGCTCCATAGCTCTTGGCGTTCCATGCAGGAAAAGATATACTAGAATAGTTTGCTGGACGCTATATATATATATTTTTTGTTTTGTTTTTTTTGCATTTCTTATACCAATAGACTATTTGAAGAGTGTCGCAAGCTCTTTTTTGCTGAATGTTAAATACAGCAGCCAATTGAACTCTCGGGTAGTTTGAAAGAAGAGCGAACGCGCGATGGCGGTAGACTACAGCAGTTATTTATTCAGACCCCATAACCAATCAGATGGCGGTAGACTACAGCAGTTATTTATTCAGACCCCATAACCAATCAGATGGCGGTAGACTACAGCAGTTATTTATTCAGACCCCATAACCAATCAGATGGCGGTAGACTACAGCAGTTATTTATTCAGACCCCATAACCAATCAGATGGCGGTAGACTACAGCAGTTATTTATTCAGACCCCATAACCAATCAGATGGCGGTAGACTACAGCAGTTATTTATTCAGACCCATAACCAATCAGATGGCGGTAGACTACAGCAGTTATTTATTCAGACCCATAACCATTCAATCTGGGTGAAGAGAAGTGGAAGCCTTCTGCATCTCATTCTAGTCCTATATTATTCAAACACGTCATTAGAATGATGAAGATAAGGACAACGAAACGTATTTCATTTAACTGTTGAAAGCGAGGAAGGAATGAAGCACCAATAGAGAGAGAGAGGAGGTAGGCTAATAACATTAGGGGAAAGGTACTGTATATACAGTGTGTCACCCTACTAAATTATGCAAATAGGCCCTACTATATTTCAAAAATCAAATTCGCTAGCCTATACTTGTAACTTTGTTCTGCACTAGAATCGCATGCTCCTTCTCTGCTTTATCGTGATTTTAACGATGTAATTCCAGTCCATATAATACAGTATAATACAATACAGTACAGTAATGCAGTTCACACTCAAAAAGATTAGCCTACTGGAGCTAGTTTCATTTATTTACCCAAGAGAGCATATAGCTAGCTACATCTATGGGCTTTTATGTTTTTCTGTCGTGCATAATGTGCAGTAGCCTGTATTAAATAGCCTATGTATTGGATAATCGCACAATCATTTGGGCTTTATTGGGCTTGGGCTCATAAAATGTATTTAATGTATAGCTCATAAAATGTATTTAATGTATCGATCATCAGGCTCAAGTAGCATTAGGCTTGAATTTTTGATCAAAGCTGTAATCAAATCCAGACATAGGCCTATTTATATGCTTTATAATGCTTTGAATGACACTTCCGGTTTTGGCAGGAAATACCGGGTTACCCGGGAAAATATTTATTTATTGTCGGGATGGTACGTTTGTAAAATATCGGGAAAATAAACAACCCTAGTTCAGACTGAGGATGGCAGGAATAAAACAAATAAATTATAAATATACTCTAAAAATTAAGAATTAAAAAATAAAAATAAATGTAAAGTGGTTGTCCCACTAGCTATCATAAGGTGAATGCACCAATTTGTAAGTGGCTCTGGATAAGAGAGCGTCTGCTAAATGTCGTAAATGTAAATGTAATGGTGACTTCTGTCTCTGTGTAGAGCCAGTACAGGAACCCTATGATCTACGTGACAGAGAATGGGGTATCAGAGAAGATTATGTGCACCGAGCTCTGTGATGACTGGAGAATACAGTACTACAAGGACTACATCAACGAGATGCTGAAAGGTATCACTATTATACTGTAATATAACATTTTACATTACAACATACACTACCATTGTCCTTGTTTTCGAAAGAAAAGCAATTTTTTTCGTCCATTAAAAGAACATCAAATTGATCAGAAATACAGTGTAGACATCGTTAATGTTATAAATGGCTATTGTAGCTGGAAACCGCTGATTTTTAATGGAATATCTACATAGGCGTACAGAGGCCCATTATCAGCAACCATCAGTCCTGTGTTCCAATGGCATGTTGTGTTTGCTAATCCAAGTTTATCATTTTAAAAGGCTAATTGATCATTAGAAAACCCTTTTGCAATTATGTTAGCACTGAACTGAAATCACAGCTGATGAAACTGTGGGTTTTGCACAACCAAATAATTTCTGCACAAACTGTCAGAAACCGTCTCAGGGAAGCTCATCTGCGTGCTCGTCGTCCTCACCGGGGTCTTTACCTGACTGCAGTTCGGCGTCGTAACCAACTGCAGTGGGAAAATGCTCACCTTCAATGGCCACTGTGCTCTTCAACTGTACCGGGCAGATGGCGTTGTGTGGGCGAGCGCTTTCCTGATGTCAACGTTTTGACCAGAGTTACCCATAGTGGTGGTGTTATGGTATGGGCAGGCATAAGCTATGGACAACGAACACAATTGCATTTTATCGATGGCAATTTGAACGCGCAGAGGTACCGTGACGAGATCCTGAGGCCCATTGTCTTGCCATTCATCCGCCGCCATCACCTCATGTTCCAGCATGATAATGCATTGCCCCATGTCACAAGGATCTGGACACAATTCCTGGAAGCTGAAAATGTCCCAGTTCTTCCATGGCCTGCATACTTACCAAAAATGTCACCCCATTGAGCATGTTTGGGATGCTCTGGATCGACGTGTACGACAGCATGTTGCAGTTCCCGACAATATCCAGCAACTTCGATTGAAGAGGAGTGGGACAACATTCCATAGGCCACAATCAACAGCCTGATCAACTCTATGCGAAGGAGATGTGTCGCGCTGCATGAGGCAAATGGTGGTCACACCAGATACTGACTGGTTTTCTTATTCATCCCCCTACCTTTAAAAAAAAATAAAGGTATCTGTGACCAACAGATGCATACCTGTATTCCCAGTCATGTGGAATCCATAGATTAGGGCCTAATTTATTTATTTCAATTGACTGATTTGCTTATATGAACTGTAACTAAGTAACATCTTTAAAGTTGTTGCATGTTGCATTTATATTTTTGTTCAGCAATTTGATGTTTTATTTGTGCTTACCATGACTGTGTTTTTGTATTCTAATGTGTGTGTGTGTGTATATTTATTGTGTCTAATGTGTATTTTATATTGTATTATACCTAGGTCTCAATATATCTTCCCTTTCAAAAATAAAAGGTAAAGACTTATTAAAAAAAAAAAATAGCTACTAGAACCTATACTGTAATTCCACAAAAATGTCTACAACTCTTCTTTGGATTGTAATGTGATTGACTATCCCAGTGTTTAACCAAGACTTTCCAAAGACTTTTCAACAATCCCATATGATGAATTCAGTATTATTCAGTAATTAAGAACAAAGGTCAATTCCAGTAAACCCAGAGTAAAATGTCAGTATTTCACTGGAACCCAACCCTGACTGGAATTGAATTGGTATTGACCCCAACCCTGACTGGAATTGAATTGGTATTGACCCCAACCCTGACTGGAATTGAATTGGTATTGACCCCAACCCTGACTGGAATTGAATTGGTATTGACCCCAACCCTGACTGGAATTGAAATGGTATTGACCCCAACCCTGACTGGAATTGAATTGGTATTGACCCCAACCCTGAACTGGAATTGAATTGGTATTGACCCCAACCCTGACTGGAATTGAAATGGTATTGACCCCAACCCTGACTGGAATTGAAATGGTATTGACCCCAACCCTGACTGGAATTGAAATGGTATTGACCCCAACCCTGACTGGAATTGAAATGGTATTGACCCCAACCCTGACTGGAATTGAAATGGTATTGACCCCAACCCTGACTGGAATTGAAATGGTATTGACCCCCAACCCTGACTGGAATTGAAATGGTATTGACCCCAACCCTGACTGGAATTGAATTGGTATTGACCCCAACCCTGACTGGAATTGAATTGGTATTGACCCCAACCCTGACTGGAATTGAATTGGTATTGACCCCAACCCTGACTGGAATTGAATTGGTATTGACCCCAACCCTGACTGGAATTGAATTGGTATTGACCCCAACCCTAACTGGAATTGAAATGGTATTGACCCCAACCCTGACTGGAATTGAAATGGTATTGACCCCAACCCTGACTGGAATTGAAATGGTATTGACCCCAACCCTGACTAAGACGGTGTGATGTACTTAGGGATGGGACAGTGAAGCGACTAAACAGACGTGGTGCTGTTCCCTGCTCTGTCCCCTAGCCATCAAAGACGGCGTGAACGTGCGCGGTTACACAGCCTGGTCTCTGCTGGACAAGTTTGAGTGGGACGAGGGCTACTCTGAGAGGTTTGGCTTGTACTACGTAGACTTCAGGAACAAGAATAAACCACGTTACCCAAAAGCCTCGGTTCAGTACTACAAACGCATCATCAGCTCCAATGGATTCCCCAACCAGAGAGAGGTGAGAGAGCATTACGACCCAATGTCTATACTAGCTCCTAATACTAAAAAGGTCATTTCAGTTAGATCTTTAATACAATACACATTACAACAGGAGGTTAATATTAAATATAAAACATGGAAATGTACATAGTTATACCGGTAGAAATGGATATACTGTCATATGTCGGAAATAGAGCATTCCATATTCAGGTGAGGGCATCATCCTGTGAAATATTGAGAAGGAGGGTGGAGGGGGGAGAGAGAGAGAGAGGGGGGGGGGGGGGGGGGGGGGGGGGGGGAGAGGGAGAGTAGAGGGGGGAGGGGAGAGAGAGAGAGAGAGAGGTGGTGGGGAGAGAGAGAGGGGGGGGGGAAGAGAGGACTTCTATACGAGAGATTTCTAGAGGCTCGGGATGGTTTGGCTCCTCGCTTCTATAGGAGATCGCTTGGTTATAGAAGATTGAATGGAATCATAATTAGGAGAGAGCTTTTGATGTTCTCTCTCTCTTCTAGTGTTGTATTGAGCTCATCTACATATTAGAGCATGATGAGTGTGTATTCTATATTAACCCTTAGCCCATCCTACAGGTAGAGAATTGGAAGAGGAAGGCCACTGAGACCTGCTCCTCCAGTAACCAGCTCCTGGCTGCAGGTCAGTTCACACTAAACATCCCTTTAACTGCTTTTCAATAAGAAGGGACTAGCTGGGGCAAACAAATAAAGATTCTGCCTCAAATATCACTTACCTAGATTGGGTGATAAACCAAAAAAAATAGGGCCTAAACTTTCTATTGGCAATCGTGGGGCAGCTATGCAAACTGTTCTTAGTTATGCAATCACTTGTCAATTCTTATCCTTTTACAATTCAATTAAATCTAAATTACGATTATCAATATATATTAGTCTAATTATGAGTATAGGGAGGTTTGATTCCTGGAGAGCAACCCTCCTGTAGGTTTTCACTCCAACCCCAGTTTTAACTAACCGGATTCAGCTTCTCAACCAGCTAATTATTACAATCAGATGCGCTACATTAGGGTTGGAGTGAAAACATTCCAGGAACGGGGTTGGATCGGCCCTGGTCCAGGACAGTAGCGCTCCAGGAACGGGGTTGGATCGGCCCTGGTCCAGGAGGGTAGCGCTCCAGGAACGGGGTTGGATTGGCCCTGGTCCAGGACGGTAGCGCTCCAGGAACGGGGTTGGATTGTCCCTGGTCTAGAGAGAGAGTAGGTATCTAGAAGACCACTAACAGAATGTTTCTTTGTTTGCCCCTCCAGCTAGAAGACAGTCCAAGGAACATGCAGAAATGCCAAAGGTCTGGCCAGTGCATGATGAGGTTTAGTCATTAGGGTATATATATTGACTTTACTACATCACTGTATATTTCTATCTTGTCATGGGTCAGCGTGTCTCTGTGGATGACATCGTACTGTAGTGTGATAGTGTCTGTGTGGGTTAGTGGCTAAGGGTCTGGCTTGCCTTGCTATGTGAAGTTGAACTCTGAGAGCCTTTTAACCGGTCCTTTGTGCATATTTAAATCAGCTGCTTTCCTCTCTTAACCCCAGCAGCAGCATAAAACATTCAACGGTTTTTAAATAATCTAATCTCTGTATTGGAAATTGCATGCGTTTCAGTTGGTCGAAGAGTAGGCCGTTTCTTTCCCATTCTAGGATATTGGAAGGAGTCAAAACGCTTTGGATCCTGTTCAAAAGACTACTACACTAAATAGTGTGAGAACAAGCTTCAACTTGCTACAGATCAAGAGGGAAAGCTGCCAAGCAGCTTTGCCAAACAACAATACTTTATAATGACTCACAGCTAATGATTTCCTGGTAGCTGCTAGCTAGCTGATGCTGCTGACACTAGCCACTAGGCATTGATACGGCACGGCATTACAGTTCTCAAAGGGTTAACGTGCCTTTACTTGGTTCAACTCTCAGTAACGTTTCTGTCTCTTCATTAGAGGAACAGCGGAGTACTGCTGCCAATATACTAAGACTTATTCATGGTAAGAAAACATTCATAATATGATCCACCCCCCGTCTGCTAAATGACTAAAATGTAAAGATATAAGATGATACTTTGGGGAAATGATTAGCCCTTTGAGTGGTGTCCTGAGCATTATAAAACTGCTTAATGTTAAGGTCATCTGTTGTGCTGAGGTCTGTCTGTGTGTTGCAGACCCCCTGACCAGCCACATGGAGATGGTAACAGAGGTAGTGGTCCCCACGGTGTGCACCCTGTGTATCCTCCTCTCTGCCGTCTTCCTGATGTTCCTGCTACGGAGACACAACTAGATCTACTACTACTACTACTACGGAGACACAACTAGATCTACTACTACTGCTACTACTAGATCATCTACTACTACTACTACACAACTAGATCTACTACTACTGCTACTGCTACTACTACTACTACTACTGCTACTACTACTACTAACACACAACTACTACTACTACTACTACTACTACTACTACACTATACTACTATACTACTACACAACCAGATCTACTACTACAACACAACTAGTACTACTAATACTACTACACAACTAGACGTACACTACTGAGACACAACAATGTACATACTACTACTAACTACACTAACTAGTACTACTACCTACTAACACTACTACACTACTACTACTACACACGAACTACTAACTAACACACTAGTACTACTAATGACTACTACTACTAACTGAACTACTCTACACAACTAGCTACTACTACCTACTAACTACTACTACACTACACTACTACACTACTACTAGTACTACTACTACTACTACACACTAGATCTAAATACTACACTACACCTACTAACTAGTACTACTACACTACTACTACTACTACACTACACTAGTACTACTAACTACTACTACAACTGACTACTACTACTGAACCACAACTAGTTACTACTAATACTAGTACTACTACTAATCTACTACACTACTGAACACAACTAGTACTACTACTACTACTACTACACAACTAGATCTACTACTAACTACAACACAACTAGTACTACTAATACTACTACACAACTAGATCTACTACTACAACCCAACTAGTACTACTAATACTACTACACAACCATCTACTACTACACAACAAAAACTAGTACTACTACACAACTAGATCTACTACTACAACACAACTAGTACTACTACACAACCAGATCTACTACTACAACACAACTAGTAATACTAATACTACTACACAACTAGTACTACTACTAACCACACAACTAGTACTACTAACAACTACTACAACTACTACTACTACACAACAACCCCAGTACAACAATCCTACTACAACTAGATCTACTAAACAATAAGTATAACTAATACTCTTACCAATAGATCTACTTACTACACACCAACTATACAATAACTAAGACGCATCTACACACTACTAACACAAATAGTACGAAGGAATCTTACTACAACACTCAACTAAAACATGACATACACACAACTATATTAATACTACTAACACAACTAGTAACTACTACTACACAACGATTTACTACTACAACCACCAGTGTGACTCAGCTAATCCACATTCAACCAGATAATACTAACACAATTAACATTTACTTGAAAGTAAATCAAGTGAATCTACTTATCCCAATATACTCTGTTACACAACAATTCTCTACAACATCACGAACTTGAGTACTACTTACACACAGTTAGTATACCCGTGGACTATTCAATTTTCAATTCAAGCATTAAATAATTAAAGTGTTTTTTTCTAAATTAAAACAATGAAAGATAAACCTTTTAAAACATACTTTAACTTGTCTGTAGCGATGTTTGACTTACTGGATCTAAGCAGCGAAGTTGACCAGGCTGCAACACACCATGGTGGTGAAATAGGCAGCCTCCTCGCCATCGCCGTTCACTGTCATCTCATTATGGAAGTCTGCAACACATTTAACCTTTACTTGCAAAGGGAAGACTTCCCAGGAAAGTCCATATTTTGCAAGGGAGCCGTGCTTCACAAAAAAATTCTGAAAATACAATTGCCTTGAGAAAGTATTCATACCCCTCGACTTATTCCACATTTTGTTGCGTTTCAGCCTGAATTCAAAATTAATTAAATAGTGTTTTTTTTTCTCATCCAGCTACACACAATACCCCATAATGACAAAGTGAAAACATGTTTTTTGAAATTTTAGCAAATTCATTGAAAATGAAATACAGAAATATCTCATTTACATACATAAGTATTCACACCCAGGAGTCAATACATGTTCAAATCACCTTTGGCAGCGATTACAGCTGTGAGTCTTCCTGGGTAAGTCTCTAAGAGCTTTGCACACCTGGATTGTACAATATTTGCACATTATTCTTTTTTAAATTCTTCAAGCTCTGTCAAGTTGGTTGTTGATCAACGCTAGACAGACATTTTCATGTCGGTTTATGTCAAAACTGTAACTGGGCCACTTTAGAACATTCGATGTCGTCTTGGTAACCAACTCCAGCGTATATTTGGCCTTGTGTTTTAGGTTATTGTCCTGCTGAAAGGTGAATGTGTCTCCCAGGTTTTCCTCTAGGATCTTGTCTGTGCTAAGCTCTCCTCCCGAGTGGCGCAGTGGTCTAAGGCACTGCATCGCAGTGCTAGCTGTGCCACTAGAGATCCTGGTTCGAGTCCAGGCTCTGTCGCAGCCGGCCGCGACCGGGAGACCCATGGGCGGCGCACAATTGGCCCAGCGTCGTCCATGGTAGGGGAGGGAATGGCCGGCAGGGATGTAGCTCAGTTGGTAGAGCGTGGCGTTTGCAACGCCAGGGTTGTGGGTTCGATTCCAGTATGAAAAATAAATAAAAATGTATGCACTAACTAACTGTAAGTCGCTCTGGATAAGATCGTCTGCTAAATGACTAAAATGTAAATGTAAATATTCTGTAGTCCTTGCTGATGACAAGCATACCCATAACATGATGCAGCCACCACTATGATTGAAGATATGGAGAGTGGTACTCAGTGATGTTGTTGTGTTGGATTTGCCCGAAAAATAACACTGTGTTCAGGACAAAAAGTTCATTTCTTTGCCACATTTTTTTGCTGTTTTAATTTAGTGCCTTGTCGCAAACAGGATGCATGTTTTGGAATATTTTTATTCTGTAGATACTTCCTTCTTTTCACGCTGTCATTTAGGTTAGTATTGTGGAGTAACTACATTGTTGTTGATCCATCCTCAGATTTCTCCTATCACAGCCATTAAACTCTGTAACTGTTTTAAAGTCACCATTGGCCTCATGGTGACATCCCTGAGCAGTTTCCTTCCTCTCCGGCAACTGAGTTAGGAAGGACGCCTGTATCTTTGTAGTGACTGGGGTGTATTGATACACCATCCAAAGTGTAATTAATAACTTCACCATGCTCAAAGGGATATTCAATGTCTGCTTTTTACATTTTTACCCATTTCTACCAATAGGTGCCCTTCTTTGCGAGGCTTTGGAAAACCTTCCTGGTCTTTGTATCTGTGTTTGAAATTCACTTCTCGACTAAGGGACATTACAGATAATTGTATGTGTGGGGTACAGAGATGAGGTAGTCATTCCAAAATCATGTTAAACACTATTATTGCCCACAGAGTGAGTCAATGCAACTTATTATGTGACTTGTTAAGCAAATCTTTACTCCTGAACTTATTTAGGCTTGCCATAACAAAGGGGTTTAATACTTATTGACTCAAGACATTTCAGCTTTTCCTTTTTTATTAATTTGTAAAAATATCTAAAAATATAATTCCACTTTGACATTATGGGGTATTGTGTGTAGATCAGTGACAACATCTCAATGTCATCCATTTTAAATTCAGGCTTTAACAACATTTGGAAAAAGTCAAGGGGTGTGAATACTTCCTGAAGGCCCTGTACATAATAAGGAATTAGCTACAACAATAAAAGGTGGAATCAAGAGAAATACAATTATAAGTTGAAGTTAACATAACAATTTATTTAACTTCTATAGTGCTTTTAATTACAGAAATCTGCAAGTGCTTATTCCATACATGAGTAATATCTCATGGACTGACGCACATAACATAAATGGTATCTGTCAACAGACTGTGGGATGTGGAGACTAACGACCACTATAGCCATCAGGAGACTAACGACCACTATAGCCATCAGGAGACTAACGACCACTATAGCCATCAGGAGACTAACGACCACTATAGCCATCAGGAGACTAACGACCACTATAGCCATCAGGAGACTAACGACCACTATAGCCATCAGGAGACTAACGACCACTATAGCCATCAGGAGACTAACGACCACTATAGCCATCAGGAGACTAACGACCACTATAGCCATCAGGAGACTAACGACCACTATAGCCATCAGGAGACTAACGACCACTATAGCCATCAGGAGACTAACGACCACTATAGCCATCAGGAGACTAACGACCACTATAGCCATCAGGAGACTAACGACCACTATAGCCATCAGGAGACTAACGACCACTATAGCCATCAGGAGACTAACGACCACTATAGCCATCAGGAGACTAACGACCACTATAGCCATCAGGAGACTAACGACCACTATAGCCATCAGGAGACTAACGACCACTATAGCCATCAGGAGACTAACGACCACTATAGCCATCAGGAGACTAACGACCACTATAGCCATCAGGAGACTAACGACCACTATAGCCATCAGGAGACTAACGACCACTATAGCCATCAGGAGACTAACGACCACTATAGCCATCAGGAGACTAACGACCACTATAGCCATCAGGAGACTAACGACCACTATAGCCATCAGGAGACTAACGACCACTATAGCCATCAGGAGACTAACGACCACTATAGCCATCAGGAGACTAACGACCACTATAGCCATCAGGAGACTAACGACCACTATAGCCATCAGGAGACTAACGACCACTATAGCCATCAGGAGACTAACGACCACTATAGCCATCAGGAGACTAACGACCACTATAGCCATCAGGAGACTAACGACCACTATAGCCATCAGGAGACTAACGACCACTATAGCCATCAGGAGACTAACGACCACTATAGCCATCAGGAGACTAACGACCACTATAGCCATCAGGAGACTAACGACCACTATAGCCATCAGGAGACTAACGACCACTATAGCCATCAGGAGACTAACGACCACTATAGCCATCAGGAGACTAACGACCACTATAGCCATCAGGAGACTAACGACCACTATAGCCATCAGGAGACTAACGACCACTATAGCCATCAGGAGACTAACGACCACTATAGCCATCAGGAGACTAACGACCACTATAGCCATCAGGAGACTAACGACCACTATAGCCATCAGGAGACTAACGACCACTATAGCCATCAGGAGACTAACGACCACTATAGCCATCAGGAGACTAACGACCACTATAGCCATCAGGAGACTAACGACCACTATAGCCATCAGCCATTTCCATCATTGAGGGAATGGTTCCTTTGAAATCAATGAAAGCGGTTATACTGCTCGCGTTGCATCACATCCAATAGCAGCGTCCAAGCTCAAGAATCGCAGAGGTTCAATTCTCGATGGCTGACGCGACCGTTCATTTATTTATTTTTTTAGTCATTTAGCAGACGCTCTTATCCAGAGCGACTTACAGGAGCAATTAGGGTTAAGTGCCTTGCTCAAGGGCACATCGACAGATTTTTCCCCTTGTCGGCTCGGGGATTAGAACCAGCGACCTTTCGGTTACCGGCACAACGCTCTTAACCTGCCGCCCCGTGTGCTTGTGGAAGACACAGAGATATTTAAAGGCCCAGTGCAGTCAAAATTATGTTTTTCCTGTATGACTAGAGCATAACATAACATCTATAGTAATTCACCTGTTTCAAAGACAATGTGTTCCACCAGGGGCTTTTCACTCAGCTGCCAGGATGTCTTCACCTCTCTGGGGCCGTTACCACTCGACACTTCCACCCCCCAGGACACCGCCTGCTCCCTATAGGGAACAACAAACACATGACATACATTACTAACCCCACCCAGACCGCTAGACGTCTCCACCCCCCCAGGACACCGCCTGCTCCCTATAGGGAACAACATACACATGACATACATTACTAACCCCACCCAGACAGCTAGACACCGCCTGCTCCCTATAGGGAACAACATACACATGACATACATTACTAACCCCACCCAGACAGCTAGACACCGCCTGCTCCCTATAGGGAACAACATACACATGACATACATACAGTGCCTTCAGTAAGTGTTCAAACCCCTTCACTTTCTCCACATTTTCCACAGCCTGAATTTAAAATGGATACAATTGAGATTTGTCACTGGCCTACACACAATACCCCATAAAGTAAAATTACAAATGAAAAGCTATTATGTGACTTGGCCATAACAACTTGCATGGATTCACTCTGTGTTCAATAATAGTATTTAACATGATTTTGGAATGACTACCTACTACTCTCTGTACCCCACACATACAGTTATCTGTAAGGTCCCTCGGTCAAGCAGTGAATTTCAAATACAGATCCAACCACAGAGACCATGGAAGACGGGTCAAAATTTAAAAAAAGCAGACACTGAATATCCCTTTAAGCATGGTGAAGTTATTCATTACACTTTGGATGGTGGTATCAATACACCCAGTCACTACAAAGTTGCCAGAGGAAGGAAACCGCTCAGGGATTTCACCATGAGGCCGATGGTGACTTTAAACCAGTTACAGTTTAATGGCTGTGATAGGAGGAAACTGAGGATGGATCAACAACATTGTAGTTACTCCACAAACCTAATTGACAGAGTGAAAAGAAGGAAGCCTGTTCAGAATAAAAATATTCCAAAACATGCGTCCTGTTTGCAACAAGGCCGTAAAGTAATACTGCAAAACATGTGGCAAAGCAATTAACTTTTTCTCCTGAATTAAAAGTGTTATGTTTGGGGCAAATCCGTTATGACACATTACTGAGTACCACTCTCCATATTTTCAAGCGTAGTGGTGGCTGCATCATGTTATGGGTATGCTTGTAATCGTTAAGTTTTTCAGAATAAAAAATAAACAGAATGGAGCTAAGCACAGACAAAATCCTGGAGGAAAACCTGGTTCAGTCTGCTTTCCACCAGACACTGGGAGATGAATTCACCTTCCAGCAGGACAATAACCTAAAACACAAGGCCAAATATACACTGGAGTTGCTCACCAAGAAGACATTGAATGTTCCTGAGTGGGCGAGTTACAGTTTTGACTTAAATCTGCTTGAACATGTATGACAAGACATGAAAATGGTTGCAGAGCAATGATCAACAACCAATTTGACAGATCTTGAAGAATTTTGAAAATAATAAATGGGCAAATATTGTATAATCCTTTGTGCAAAGCTCTTAGAGACTTACCCAGAAAGACTCACATCTGTAATCGCTGCCAAAGGTGATTCTAACATGTATTGACTCAGGGGTGTGAATACTTACGTAAATTAGATTTCAGTATTTCATTTTCAATAAATTTGCAAAAAAATATATCAAACATGTTTTCACTTTGTCATTATTGGGTACTGTGTGTAGATGGGTGAGAACAAAAACATATTTAATCCATTTTGAATTCAGGCTGTAACACAACAACATGTGGAATAAGTCGAGGGACATGAATACTTTCTACTTTCATACATTACTAACCCCAACCCTAGACACCTCCACACCATAGGACACCACCTGCTCTCTGGGGGAACAACTGTGAAGAGACACACGATAACATGGATTTTGTATTGTAGAGTAGTGGCCTGAGGGAACACACTTAATGTGTTGTGAAAAGTTATGAAATGTAAGGTCATTTAATATTGTTAATTCTATATAACTGCCTTAATGTTGCTGGACCCCAAGAAGAGTAGCTGCTGCCTTGGCAGGAACTAATGGGGATCCATAATAAACCCCAGGAAGAGTAGCTGCTGCCTTGGCAGGAACTAATGGGGATCCATAATAAACCCCAGGAAGAGTAGCTGCTGCCTTGGCAGGAACTAATGGGGATCCATAATAAACCCCAGGAAGAGTAGCTGCTGCCTTGGCAGGAACTAATGGGGATCCATAATAAACCCCAGGAAGAGTAGCTGCTGCCTTGGCAGGAACTAATGGGGATCCATAATAAACCCCAGGAAGAGTAGCTGCTGCCTTGGCAGGAACTAATGGGGATCCATAATAAACCCCAGGAAGAGTAGCTGCTGCCTTGGCAGGAACTAATGGGGATCCATAATAAACCCCAGGAAGAGTAGCTGCTGCCTTGGCAGGAACTAATGGGGATCCATAATAAACCCCAGGAAGAGTAGCTGCTGCCTTGGCAGGAACTAATGGGGATCCATAATAAACCCCAGGAAGAGTAGCCGCTGCCTTGGCAGGAACTAATGGGGATCCATAATAAACCCCAGGAAGAGTAGCTGCTGCCTTGGCAGGAACTAATGGGGATCCATAATAAACCCCAGGAAGAGTAGCTGCTGCCTTGGCAGGAACTAATGGGGATCCATAATAAACCCCAGGAAGAGTAGCTGCTGCCTTGGCAGGAACTAATGGGGATCCATAATAAACCCCAGGAAGAGTAGCTTCTGCCTTGGCAGGATCTAATGGGGATCCATAATAAACCCCAGGAAGAGTAGCTGCTGCCTTGGCAGGAACTAATGGGGATCCATAATAAACCCCAGGAAGAGTAGCTGCTGCCTTGGCAGGAACTAATGGGGATCCATAATAAATACTAATACATACAGTACATTACTAACCCTAGACACCCCAGGACAACGCCTGCTTTACAATTACTACATGATCAGTAAGTCAATTAACATACTAGTTAGCAGGCACCATATGGTTGCACAATTCCTGTCATTTCCTTTTTTTTTATATTCTGATTGGAATTTCTGGAAAATCTGGGAATTTTAGGGAAAGTTAACTGAATTTTGCAACCTTATGAAAGACACATTTGACCAATGAGGACCAGTGGTCTGTAGGCATACCTCTGGTAGAAGTGGCTGATCAGTGCAGGTTTGATCTGCAGTTTGAACTCGTGGTCCTCGTCATAGGGACATGTTTTGTAGTACTGCAAACACAACCTAGGAAGAGCAGAGGGGAAAACAGGTTTAATATACACGTCAGTGAGCAGCTGACCAACGTCTATACAACGTTACGGAGAGAATAAATGTTGAATAGAGGTCGTGTTCATTACACACCAAATGTAAGAAAATTGACAGATACAGGGAGTGACTACATGGACTTGTCTTAAAAATAAATGTTCATTTAACATTTTCCATAGCCAGAGCGACCTACAGGAGCAATTAAGGTTTAAGTGCCTTGCTCAAGGGCACATCGGCAGGTTTTTTTCCCACCTAGTAGGCTCGGGGATTCGAACCAGTGACCTTTGGGTTACTGGCCCAACGCTCTCAGACAGGCTAGCATGCCTTACTGTGTGAGGAGGAAGAGTCTATCGTATGGCAGGCCCAGGAAGGTGCTGCAGGTCCCCAGGATCTCCAGTAGGTGGTGTAGTTTCCTCACTCTGATCACTTGCTCCTGAAGATCCTCTTCAGTACTCAGGTAGTAACTCTATTGGAGGAGAACAATAGAAATCTTTAATCCTTAGTTGCTGCATCCATTTTTTTATTGACATATACACCCATTGATTCTTGAAGAATATAAACTTAGAAATGCCTCATGAGGTTAGTTCAACCAAAGACAGTACATTTTAGTCATTTAGCAGACGCTCTTATCCAGAGCGACTTACAGGAGCAATTAGGGTTAAGTGCCTTGCTTAAGGGCACATCGACAGATTTTTTACCTAGTCGAGTCGGGGATTAGAACCAGCGACCATTCGGTTACTGGCACAACGCTCTTAGCCACTAAGCTACCTGCTGCCCAATGTTATTGTTTCAATAAGGATTCTAGTTTTAAAATATTTTTTAAAATGTTTGAGATGATTTCCTGAATAAAGTAATATAAACTTGGACTCACCAGGTGGTTTAATGTGGTCAGTTCTTGACCTGAGGAGAAGAAAACATGAACTGTAAATCAACTTAAATACTGTAAGATAACAATTAGATGTCATTTGTCTGGAACCATCACACAGGAAGCCCAATAACAGACTAGGTCCTGTCGGTGAGCACCAGTATCCCTGTCTGTGGTGTCATGGACAACAGTACACTGTCCACTTTCAACCGAACAACCACCATCTATAGGTATCCCATGCGGGATTCGAAACCACTAATCTTTGGAGTGCAGTGTGAGTGTGTGAGTGAGTGAGTGAGTGAGTGAGTGAGTGTGTGTGTGTGTGAGTGTGAGTGTGAGTGTGTGTGTGTGTGTGTGTGTGTGTGTGTGTGTGTGTGGGTGTGTGTGTGTGTGTGTGTGTGTGTGTGTGTGTGTGTGTGTGTGTGTGTGGTGTGTGTGTGTGGTGTGTGTGTGTGTGTGTGTGTGTGTGTGTGTGTGTGTGGTGTGTGTGGGTGTGTGTGTGGTGGTGTGTGTGGTGTTGGTGTGTGTGGTGGTGTGAGTGAGGTGAGTGGTGAGTGAGGTGAGTGGAGTGTAGGGTGGTGGTGTGGTGTTGGGTGTGAGTGTGAGTGTGGAGTGTGAGTGTGAGTGTGTGAGTGTGAGTGTGGTGTGTGTGTGGTGTGGTGTGTGTGTGTGTGTGTGTGTGTGTGTGTGTGTGTGTGTGTGTGTGTGTGTGTGTGTGTGTGTGTGGTGTGGGTGTGTGTGTGTGTGGTGTGTGGTGTGTGTCGTGGGTGTGTGTGTGTGTGGTGTGTGGGTGGTGTGTGTGTGAGTGAGTGAGTGGTGAGTGGTGAGTGAGGGTGGTGTGTGTGTGTGGTGTGTGTTGTGTGTGTGTGTGTGTGGTGTGGTTTGTGTGAGTGGGTGGTTGGTGTGTGTGTGTGTGTGTGGGGGGTGTGTGTGTGTGTGTGTGTGGGTGGTGGGGTGGGAGTGGTGTGTTGTGGTGTGTGGGTGTGGGTGTGTGTGTGTGGGTGAGTTGTGTGTGTGTGTGTGGGGGTGTGTGTTGTGTGGGTGTGTGAGTGTGAGTGGTGAGTGTGTGTGTAGTGTTTGCGTGTGGTTTTTTTGGTGTGTGTTTGTGTGTGAATGTGGGTGAGTGTGTGTGCGTTGCGTGTGCTGTGTGTGGGGGTGAGTGTGTGGGTGTGTGGCTGTGTGGTGTGTGTGTGAGTGTGTGTGTGTGTGTGTGTGTGTTACCTATGAGGTAGTTGATGTAATCCTTCCTCATCTTGTCCAGACCCATCTCCAGCAGCATGTGGACAGGAGTGAGGCCTGTGAGAGAGACGTAGTCCATCTGATGGTGGTAGGACTGGAGGATCAACCTACTGAGGGAGCTACCGCTGTCTCTGTGAATCTACAGAACCAGGACGAGAGACACGTAGCAGTTAGAAAGAGAGTTTATCAAGATTCGGTTTTTTCTCGTAGCTGTCCATTTACCACAACAAACCGACGCTGGCACTAATTCCACACTCAACGGAGCTGTATAGCGCCCCCAAAGCGAACGAGAAAATGCTCATCCAGAGGCGGCTCGCATAGTGGCCGGTGATTTTAATGCAGGAGAAACTGAAATCCGTTTGACCTCATTTCTACCAGCGCAACTAGAGGCGAAATAAACTCTAGATGACCTTTACTCCTAGATGACCTTTACTCCACACACAGAAATGCATATGAAGCTCTCTCTCACCCTCCATTTGGCAAATCTGACCATAACTCTATCCTCCTGATTCCTGCTTACAAGCAAAAACTCTAACAGGAAGTAGCAGTGACGCGCTCAATGTGGAAACGGATGCTAAGATACTGGACTGTTCCGCTAGCACAGACTGGAATATGTTCCGGGATTCACCCAATAACATTGAGGAGTTTACCACATCAGTCACCGGCTTCATTAATAAGTGCATTGACGGTGTCGTCACCACAGTGACCGTACGTACATACCCCAACCAGAAGCCATGGATTACAGGCAACATCAGCACTGAGCTAAAGGCTAGAGCTGCCACTTTCAAGGAGCGGGACACTAATCCGGACGCTTACAAGAAATCCCGCTATGACCTCAGACGAACCATCAAACAGGTAAAGCTTCAATACAGGACTAAGATCGAATCGTACTACACCGGCTCTGATGCTCTTCGGATGCGGCAGGGCTTGCAAACTATCACGGATTACAAAGGGAAACCCAGCCGCAAACTGCCCAGTGACGCAAGCCTACCAGACAAGCTAAATTCCTTCTGAGCTCGCTTCGAGGCGAGCAACACTTAACCATGCATGAGAGCACCAGCTGTTCAGGATGACTGTGTGATCACGCTCTCCGTAGCCGATGTGAGTAAGACCTTTAAAAAAGGTTAACATTCACAAGGCCGCAGGGCCAGACGGATTACCAGGAAACGTATTGACCAGCTGGCAAGTGTCTTCACTTACATTTTCAACCTCTCCCTGACACAATCTGTAATACCAACACGTTTCAAGCAGACCACCATAGTCCCTGTGTCCAAGAACGCCAAGGTAACCTGTACCGGTACCACCTGTAAATAGCCTCGTTATTGTTATTTTATTTTCAACACCATGGTGCCCTCCAAACTCATCACTAAGCTAAGGACCCTGGGACTTCCTGACGGGCTGCCCCCAGGTGCTGAGGGTAAGAAACAACACATCCACCATGCTGACCCTCAACACGGGGGCACCTCAGGGGTGCATGCTTAGTCCCCTCCTGTATTCCCTGTTCACCAACGACACAGCTGACACTACAAGGGACAAGGACACCAAGAAACACAGCTATCGACAGAATGCCTTCCTAAAGAGAAAGGTCTTTAGGCCTGTTTTAAAGGAGCCCAGAGTCTTCAGGTGGTCCGGGAGGGCATTCCAGAGCCTGGGGGCGGTTGAGCTGAAAGTCCAATCCCCCAAAGAGCAGAGCTTGGTACTGGGAGCGTGGAGGAGCAGGCTACGGAGGGTGCGGTGGGGTTATGAGCAGTTCTTTGAGATAAGGAGGGGCCATGAATACACTGGGAAGTCAGCAGGAGGGTTTTTTTTATTCAATCCGGAATGAGACGGAGAGCAGAGATGCCAGGATGGAGGTGATAAAGGATCTGAAGACACACACACACACTGTACTTACCCATGGTTTAATGTCACCATACTGCAAAGCTTTGATGACCAGTTTCAGACAGTCTCCGATGTCTTGATATGAAGTCACACCTGTGATGGAAAAAGCAGTGATGAATTAAACAGCCAATAATCTACATTCCACATCAAAGTGTTATCAATCGTATAAGGAATTGGATTACATTTACAAAATGTCAATAAGGACTGTAGAGCTTCCTCCAAAGTGCTGTAAAACAAAAAGGCTACTCTACTATTACTGAAATGTACTAAACTCTACTCACTGTTCCTCATGCGAACCCAGAGCTGTTCTATGAAGTCCAGGTCTCCTCTCTCCATCAGAGAGTTGAATATGGACATCTCTGATGTTCCCGTCTCAGTCTTCCCCTTCACTGTCTGGGGGATAGAACCACGACCAACACAGTCAGATAAAGCATTATGACGACATGTATTTAAATAGCTCACGTTTTTTTTTTACAATTTTATAATACAGTGCCTTCAGAAAGTATTCACACCCCTTTACTTTTTTCACATTTTGTTGTGTTATAAAGTGGGATTCAAATAGATTTAATTGTAATTTTTTTGTCAACGGTCTACACAAAATACTCTGTAATGTCAAAGTGGAAGACAAAATTCTAAAATTTGTAGAAAATCCATGACAAATAAAAACACCAATATCTTAATTATCTAAGTATTTAACCATTTCATGTCTTGCCATCGATGTTCAAGCAGATTTAAGTCAAAACTTTAACTCGGCCACTAAGGAACATTGGTAAGCAACCCCAGTGTAGACTTGGCCTTGTGTTTTAGGTTATTGTCCTGCTGAAAGGTGAATTCATCTCCCAGTGTCTGGTGGAAAGCAGACTGAACCAGGTTTTCCTCTAGGATTATTCCTGTGCTTAGCTCCATTCCGTTACTTTTTTATCCTGAAAAACTCCCCAGTCCTTAACGATTACGAGCATACCCATAACACAGTGGCGATCGGTACCGTTTAAGATGACATTTTTTTAAGGACGACATATTTTTTTTCCCATGAGAGTTAATTATTTTACAGCATATTGGATGACTGTCATCCATATTCCATTCACCCAGTTCAATGTAACATCGATAGGTTTAGGCTACTACATGATACTCTAATGTTCCCTGTACCCATCATGAGGTTGCTACAACCTAGACTAGGAATGAAAGTTTACAACGTAGGTGCACGGGTCAAGATAAATGTATTAGTAATCTAGTCATCTTGGCATGGTTCTGTTATAATCTCCACCCGGCACAGCCAGAAGAGGACTGGCCACCCCTCATAGCCTGGTTCCTCTCTAGGTTTCTTCCTAGGTTTTGGCCTTTCTAGGGAGTTTTTCCTAGCCACCGTGCTTCTACACCTGCATTACTAGCTGTTTGGGGTTTTAGGCTGGGTTTCTGTACAGCACTTCGAGATATTAGCTGATGTACGAAGGGCTATATAAAATAAAATTGATTGATTGAGTAATCAAGGTGGCAGACAGTGACACATTCAATACCGTCTTGCACACTCTTTGCCTGGATCTAGCTGACCTAGGGTGTAATCATTAGTCCAAAGATTTGCAAACAAGACGTTTAAGAAACATTTTAACAGAATCGGCAGAATGAATACACCCCTGACCACACACAAACACAGTTCACTTTCATAGCAGCCACATACAAAACACCATCAGTTGTATAATTCCTTCTCGAGTCGACGCGCTCCTCTCACCCTTTCATTTTGTTTGTGGCCTTCAGTGCACAACACAACAGCTGTCTGGGAACAGGCGACAAATACCTCTCCAAGCAAAAACCTTCATACCATAAGCGCTACACACAGCCTACATCGTTGTCACCATATTAGCTAATGTCATAGTCAACGTAGCTACTACAACTAACGCGTTAGTAAACCCGCTACAATCATGTAGTACAGTTACCTCGACTTTAAAGAGTTCCAGCGTTGGATAGCCTTAGCCAGCTAGCTAACATAGCATCCTTCTCTGTTTGAGCCGGGTGTTTGAGTAAGCTAAACTAGCTAGCTGCATTCGTTAGCTAAGTAAGTGAAAAAAGTACTACGAAATATATAATATAGCTAAATATAAATATAGCTAGCTCTCTGCCTTGCTCTCGCTTCTCCTTCATTTTTGAAGATATGAAATTGTTCAAATCTATTCAACTATTGTCTTTCTCGGTCTTTGAGTCAACTACTCACCACATTTTATGCACTGCAGTGCTAGCTAGCGGTAGCTTATGCTTTCAGTACTAGATTAATTCTCTGATCCTTTGATTGGGTGGACAACATGTCAATTCCTGCTGCAAGAGCTCTGATAGGTTGGAGGACGTCCTCTGGAAGTGGTCATAATTACTGCGTAAGTCTATGGAAGGGGGTGAGAACCATGAGCCTCCTAGGTTTTGTATTGAAGTCAATGTACCCAGAGGAGGATGGAAGCTAGTTGTCCTCCGGCTACACCATGGTGCTACCCTACAGAGTGCTGTTGAGGCTACTGTAGACCTTCATCACAAAACAGTGTGTTTTAATCAATTATTTGGTGACATGGGAATGTATTTATACCGAACTAAAAAATCTACAAAAAAAAAACACAATTTCAAAGATTGAGTTACAGTTCATATAAGGAAATCAGTCAATTGAAATAAATCCAGTAGGCCCTAATCTATGGATTTTACATGACTGGGAATACAGATATGCATCTGGATCAGAAAACCAGTCAGTATCTGGTGTGACCACCATTTGCCTCATGCAGCGCGACACATCTCCTTCGCATAGAGTTGATCAGGCTGTTGATTGTGGCCTGAGGAATGTTGTCCCACCCTTCTTCAAATAGAAGTTGCTGGATATTGGCGGGAACGGGAACACGCTGCCGTACACGTCGATCCAGAGCATCCCGAACATGCTCAATGGGTGACATTTCTGGTAAGTATGCAGGCCATGGAAGAACTGGGACATTTTCAGCTTCCAGGAATTGTGTACGGATCCTTGTGACATGGGGCCGTGCATTATCATGCTGAAACATGAGGTGATGGTGGCGGATGAATGGCACGACAATGGGCCTCAGGATCTCGTCACGGTGTCTCTGTGCATTCAAATTGTCATCGATAAAATGCAATTGTGTTTGCTGTCCGTAGCTTATACCTGCCCATACCCTAACCCCACCACCACCACGGGGCACTCTGTTCACAACGTTGACATTAGCAAACCACTCGCCCACACAACGCCATACACATGGTCTGCAGTTGAGGCCGGTTGGACATACTGCCAAATTCTCTAAAACGATGATATGGTAGAGAAATTAACATGAAATTCTCTGGCAACAGCTCTGGTGGACATTCCTGCAGTCAGCATGCCAATTGCACTCTCCCTCAAAACTTGAGACATCTGTGGCATTGTGTTGTGTGACAAAACTGCACATTTTAGAGGGGCCTTTTATTGTCCCCAGCACAAGGTGCACCTGTGTAATGATCATGCTGTTTAATCAGCTTCTTGATATGCCACACCTGTCAAGTGGATGGATTATCTTGGCAAAGGAGAAATGCTCACTAACAGAAACATGGGACCAACACTTTGTAGTGACATTGATACACCATCCAAAGGGTTATTAATAACTTCACCAAGCTCAAAGGGATATTCAATGTCTGCTTTTTTGCGAGGTAGAAGGAAGACCTCCCTGGTCTTTGTGGTTGAATCTTTGCTTGAAATTCACTTCTTGACTGAGGTACCTTACAGACAATTGTATGTGTGGGGTACAGAGAGGAGGTAGTCATTTAAAAATCATGTTAAACACTATTACTGCACACAGACTGAGTCCATGCAACTTTTTATGTGACTTGTTAAGCACATTTTTACTCCTGAACTTATTTAGGCTTGCCATAACAAAGGGGTTGAATACTTATTGACTCAAGACATTTCAGCTTTTCATTGAATTAATTTGTAACAATTTCAAAAAACATAATTCCACTTTTGACATTATGGGGTATTGTGTGTAGGCCAGTGACAACAATTTAATTCATTTTAAATTCAGGCTGTAACACAACAAAATGTGGAAAAAGTCAAGGGGTGTGAATACTTTCTGAAGGCACTGTATGTTGTTCCCCCAGAGAGCTCTCCTCCATCTACTGCTGTAGATACAGTTGAAGTCGGAAGTTTACATACACCTTAGCCAAATGACATTTAATCCTAGTAAAAATTCCCTGTCTTAGGTCAGTTAGGATCACCACTTTATTTTAAGAATCTGAAATGTCAGAATAATAGTAGAGAGAATGATTTATTTCAGCTTTTATTTCTTTCATCACATTCCCAGTGGGTCAGAAGTTTACATACGCTCAATTAGTATTTGGTAGCATTGCCTTTAAAATGTTTAATTTGGGTCAAACGTGTCAGGTAGCCTTCCACAAGCTTCCCACAATAAGTTGGGTGAATTTTGGCCCATTCCTCCTGACAGAGCTGGTGTAACTGAGTCAGGTTTGTAGGCCTCCTTGCTCACACACGCTTTTTCAGTTCTGCCCACAAAGTTTCTATAGGATTGAGGTCAGGGCTTTGCGATGGGCACTCCAATACATTGACTTTGTTGTCCTTAAGCCATTTTGGCACAACTTTGGAAGTATGCTTGGGGTCATTGTCCATTTGGAAGACCCATTTGCGACCAAGCTTTAACTTCCTGACTGATGTCTTGAGATGTTGTTTCAATATACAGTGGGGGAAAAAAGTATTTAGTCAGCCACCAATTGTGCAAGTTCTCCCACTTAAAAAGATGAGAGGCCTGTAATTTTCATCATAGGTACACGTCAACTATGACAGACAAAATGAGGGAAAAAAAATCCAGAAAATCACATTCTAGGATTTTTAATGAATTTATTTGCAAATTATGGTGGAAAATAAGTATTTGGTCACCTACAAACAAGCAAGATTTCTGGCTCTCACAGACCTGTAACTTCTTCTTTAAGAGGCTCCTCTGTCCTCCACTCGTTACCTGTATTAATGGCACCTGTTTGAACTTGTTATCAGTATAAAAGACCACATAAATGTCCTTCCTCATGATGCCATCTATTTTGTGAAGTGCACCAGTCCCTCCTGCAGCAAAGCAACTCACAGCATGATGCTGCCACCCCCGTGCTTCACGGTTGGGATGGTGTTCTTCGGCTTGCAAGCCTTCCCCTTTTTCCTCCAAGCATAACAATGGTCATTATGGCCAAACAGTTCTATTTTTGTTTCATCAGTCCAGAGGACATTTCTCCAAAAAGTACAATGTTTGACCCCATGTGCAGTTGCAAACCGTAGTCTGGGTTTTTTATGGTGGTTTTGCTGAGCGGCCTTTCAGGTTATGTCGATAAAAGTACTTGTTTTACTGTGGATATAGATACTTTTGTACCTGTTTCCTCCAGCATCTTCACAGGGTCCTTTGCTGATGTTCTGGGATTGATTTGCACTTTTCGCACCAAAGTACGTTCATCTCTAGGAGACAGAATGCGTCTCCTTCCTGAGCGGTATGACGGCTGTGTGGTCCCATGGTGTTTATACTTGCGTACTATTGTTTGTACAGATGAATGTGGTACCTTCAGGCGTTTGGAAATTGCTCCCAAGGATGAACCAGACTTGTGGAGGTCTACAATTATTTTCTGGGGTCTTGGCTGATTTCTTTAGATTTTCCCATGATGTCAAGCAAAGAGGCACTGAGTTTGAAGGTAGGCCTTGAAATACATCCACAGGTACACCTCCAATTGACTCAAATGATGTCAATTAGCCTATCAGAAGCTTCTAAAGCCATGACATCATTTTCTGGAATTTTCCAAGCTGTTTAATGGCACAGTCAACTTAGTGAATGTAAACTTCTGACCCACTGGAGTTGTGATACAGTGAATTATAAGTGAAATAATCTGTCTGTAAACAATTGTTGGAAAAATTACTTGTGTCATGCACAAAGTAGATGCCAATTGCGCTCTCCCTCAAAACATCTGTGTCATTGCCAAAACTATAGTTTGTTAACAAGACATTTGTGGAGTGGTTGAAAAACGAGTTTTAAGGACTCCAAACTAAGTGTATGTAAACTTCAGACTTCAACTGTTAGTATTGTATGAATCCCCTAAATCGAAATAATATACATTTGATGTGAAAAAAAAGTTTCACATCAGGATATTGATACTAGTCATACCTCTTTGGTAGACTGATCCTGCAGAGTCTTTACACTGTTCTGCAGTTCTGAAAAGGAGAATGAAATGTGATTGACAGATGATAAAATAAAAGAAACACGTTTATTTCAATGGTCCTCAACGTGTTAACCTCTTAAATGTAAATGGCAAAATTTAGATATCCGTCTAAATCGACATACCCAAAAGTAACTGCTATTCATGTGTAATTACATGATTCTGACCTGCCAAAACTTGGTATATTTGGAAAGACGACATCTGGGAGACGATGAGGAAATGATCAGAAGATAGATAGGAGTTCCATAGTTCAGAATACACCAGATCAAAACACAAACTATGCATTTTTTTATTTTTTATTTATTTTGAAAGTCTTCTTTCTTTGACAAGCTATAAGTGAATTATTGATTCCCAGAGCTGGAAACACATCCGATGGCTTCCACAACATGTGAACAATATCCGATTTTTTGACCAGCGGGGGGGGGGGGGGTGGAGACCTTGACCAGCGGGGGGGCGCTTGCTGGGGAGGAGTGGCTCCAAAATGTAATCGTCCAAATCCTCTGCATCCTCCACTCTGTGGTGAATAAAAATAAAGGGATATATTGTTGTAAGACACACACAGAATTACAGTTTACTAAATTTACAGAACTAACATTACTGTAAAGTAAAAACACCAAGCCTAAACTTTATCTGTACAGTGACTCATACAGAAGGTGTGAAACACACACAAAGAAAACAGAAACACTTTGGAGACAAAGGCAGAGGTGAGAACCACAAATAAACAATGGCCATAAGAGAGTTTAGTGGCCTCTCCAAAGTTACAAAGATGAAACTTAGAACAGCAAACAGTGAACTAATTTAACATAGACAATAACTACTTTGGAATTATACATTTAATAAATAAATGAAATGAATAAATTATAAAATTGATTTAAATGAATAAATTATATAACATTGAAATTACTTGTTACATAGGCTTATGTAAACTAAATCCAAAGCACAAAAAGCAGACAACTCATTAAAAAACGAAATACATACAGGAAATGAGCTATATAAAGTAATGACAATAATTTACTTACAGATCTAAAAGTGGATCCATTTCCTTCTAGAAAGCAATCTTTGTCGGCCGAGTCGAAATCCTCGTTGTCCTAATCGCTCCCTTGATCCGAGTCCGACCAGTATTTTATTCAAAGCTGCTGTCGGTATACTTATTCATAGCTGCCTTCTTTTTAGCTTCCTGTTCGATATTGTTAGTTTTACCTTTTTTTACCCCCCTTGAGCAGCCATCTTTTATGCTAAAGCGATGAAATTAAAGCGATGAAATCTGTTTACAATGTATTGAAAAAATAAATAAAAAATAAATGTATGCTATAAATGAAAGCTTCTCATTGGCTACAAGACTGTCAAGGTGCCATAGTAGCCAATCCCCTGTGTTATGGACGCCTTCTCATTGGCTACAAGACTGTCAAGGTGCCATAGTAGCCAATCCCCTGTGTTATGGACGCCTTCTCATTGGCTACAAGACTGTCAAGGTGCCATAGTAGCCAATCCCCTGTGTTATGGACGCCTTCTCATTGGCTACAAGACTGTCAAGGTGCCATAGTAGCCAATCCCCTGTGTTATGGACGCCTTCAGCGCATAAGCAGGCGATGTCATATCGGTGGACATTTGATGTTGCCATTCAGTCATACGTCATCAGATAACATAGATGTGTTCCTACCAACCTAAGGATTAATTTCATGTAGCTATAGCTCAAACACAGACCAAATCGAAGTTTACCTTGTAAGATGTTTGCTGTTTGGTGAAAACGTTGTGTAAAATAAACATTTTGACTCTCGGGGCTGGTGATCAATAACGGTAGGTCACAGGCAGACAAATAAGACCTCCTCGTGATCTGTGGAGTCCCGGCTTTCGGTGCGTATCGACGTATTCCGTGTTTATTTCCTTTATGCTTCACAACGCTAACCGGAATGTAGGTAGCAGCCATCTTGAAATGAGGTCATCGGCTCGGCCTGTCCTTCTACATTCGTGTGCCCATATGTGGTAGTAAATCACACCGAAGATTTTAAAGGCACAGGTCAATAACCAAGATACTCAGCATTCCGCAGACACCCTGCTTTTGAATATAGAGGCTACCGTTCTCATACCAGACTGAATTGAATTAAAAACAAAATACATTTAAGAGGTTAAAAAGCAATATATAGTAAAACATGTTTATTTCAGTCGTCCTCAACATGTTAAAAAGCAACTCATTTCATATAGGATGTGAAAAGTTGTTTTTCTAATACATTTTTGCTTGATTTTGGAGATATTTAATGACTAAATTACTCAAATGTAAAATGTAAAATACCCTACCATCAAGGTATTCCCTTGTCAGCTGCACAGCAGACCTGGTCTCCAGGGGTTCCATCCACTCCGTCTCTCCTGTCCTCAGACCATCAGCCAGGATCTGACAACCACAACCAGCAACAGGCTAAGTAGTACTATGTTACAGTAGGTCTATATATTGTGATAGCCTGGTTACGTCACAGTAGGTCTATATATTGTGATAGCCTGGTTACGTCACAGTAGGTCTATATATTGTGATAGCCTGGTTACGTCACAGTAGGTCTATATATTGTGATAGCCTGGTTACGTCACAGTAGGTCTATATATTGTGATAGCCTGGTTACGTCACAGTAGGTCTATATATTGTGATAGCCTGGTTACGTCACAGTAGGTCTATATATTGTGATAGCCTGGTTACGTCACAGTAGGTCTATATATTGTGATAGCCTGGTTACGTCCACAGTAGGTCTATATATTGTGATAGCCTGGTTACGTCACAGTAGGTCTATATTGTGATAGCCTGGTTACGTCACAGTAGGTCTATATATTGTGATAGCCTGGTTACGTCACAGTAGGTCTATATATTGTGATAGCCTGGTTACGTCACAGTAGGTCTATATATTGTGATAGCCTGGTTACGTCACAGTAGGTCTATATATTGTGATAGCCTGGTTACGTCACAGTAGGTCTATATATTGTGATAGCCTGGTTACGTCACAGTAGGTCTATATATTGTGATAGCCTGGTTACGTCACAGTAGGTCTATATATTGTGATAGCCTGGTTACGTCACAGTAGGTCTATATATTGTGATAGCCTGGTTACGTCACAGTAGGTCTATATATTGTGATAGCCTGGTTACGTCACAGTAGGTCTATATATTGTGATAGCCTGGTTACGTCACAGTAGGTCTATATATTGTGATAGCCTGGTCAATTCAGAAAGTAACCCAAATTCCAATTCGAATTTCCTCATTGAAAAGCATTGAAGAGAATTCGAATTGGATTGTCAGTTTACTTCCTGCATTGGCCCCAACCCCAGTGCACACCACTGTAATGTAGGTTTAACCAGGCTAATATTGGGTTGCTAAAAAAGGCATTTCAAAAGTATTATTTTTTTGGCACCAACCTGTAGAAACTCCAGCTCCCTGTACATCGGATACATGGGACTCCTCATGTCTCCACTGGACACCTTGATATTCTGCAGGAGTCGGGGGGGGTGGGGTTAACAAGCAGTCCCTTCATCCTGGGTACTAGTCTAGCTCTGAGAGAAACAGTCCCTTCATCCTGGGTACTAGTCTAGCTCTGAGAGAAACAGTCCCTACATCCTGGGTACTAGTCTAGCTCTGAGAGAAACAGTCCCTACATCCTGGGTACTAGTCTAGCTCTGAGAGAAACAGTCCCTACATCCTGGGTACTAGTCTAGCTCTGAGAGAAACAGTCCCTACATCCTGGGTACTAGTCTAGCTCTGAGAGAAACAGTCCCTACATCCTGGGTACTAGTCTAGCTCTGAGAGAAACAGTCCCTACATCCTGGGTACTAGTCTAGCTCTGAGAGAAACAGTCCCTACATCCTGGGTACTAGTCTAGCTCTGAGAGGGTTGGAACCGGTTAAGGGAAGACAACCGAAAGCAACAAAAAAAATTTGAGGAGCGTCATACCCAAGAAGACTCGATGCTGTAATTGCTGCCAAAGGTGCTTCTACAAAGTATTGAATAAAGGGTCTGAATACTTATGTAAATGTGATGAGTTTTTTAAAATAAATTATCAACAATTTCAAAAACCCTGTTTTTGCTGTCATTATGGGGTAGTGTGTGTGTAGATCGATGAGGGAAAAAAACAATTTTATATATTTTAGAATAAGGCTCTAACGTAACAAAATGTGGAAAAAGTGAAGGGGTCTGAATACTTTCCAAAGGCACTGTATATGTATAATTATTTAACTACATGTACCGTACATTTGAGCGAAAATAGCTGTAAGTAGCAGTAGAAGTATTGTTGTCCATTAGTTTACTCCAATCAGGGGAGGGATGGTAAATTAGTTTACTCCAATCAGGGGAGGGATGGTCATTAGTTTACTCCAATCAGGGGAGGGATGGTCATTAGTTTACTCCAATCAGGGGAGGGATGGTCATTAGTTTACTCCAATCAGGGGAGGGATGGTCATTAGTTTACTCCAATCAGGGGAGGGATGGTCATTAGTTTACTCCAATCAGGGGAGGGATGGTAAATTAGTTTACTCCAATCAGGGGAGGGATGGTAAATTAGTTTACTCCAATCAGGGGAGGGATGGTAAATTAGTTTACTCCAATCAGGGGAGGGATGTCCATTAGTTTACTCCAATCAGGGGAGGGATGGCCATTAGTTTACTCCAATCAGGGGAGGGATGGTAAATTAGTTTACTCCAATCAGGGGAGGGATGGCCATTAGTTTACTCCAATCAGGGGAGGGATGTCCATTAGTTTACTCCAATCAGGGGAGGGATGGCCATTAGTTTACTCCAATCAGGGGAGGGATGGCCATTAGTTTACTCCAATCAGGGGAGGGATGGTCATTAGTTTACTCCAATCAGGGGAGGGATGGCCATTAGTTTACTCCAATCAGGGGAGGGATGGTAAATTAGTTTACTCCAATCAGGGGAGGGATGGTCATTAGTTTACTCCAATCAGGGGAGGGATGGCCATTAGTTTACTCCAATCAGGGGAGGGATGGCCATTAGTTTACTCCAATCAGGGGAGGGATGGTCATTAGTTTACTCCAATCAGGGGAGGGATGGTCATTAGTTTACTCCAATCAGGGGAGGGATGTCCATTAGTTTACTCCAATCAGGGGAGGGATGGCCATTAGTTTACTCCAATCAGGGGAGGGATGGTAAATTAGTTTACTCCAATCAGGGGAGGGATGGCCATTAGTTTACTCCAATCAGGGGAGGGATGTCCATTAGTTTACTCCAATCAGGGGAGGGATGGCCATTAGTTTACTCCAATCAGGGGAGGGATGGCCATTAGTTTACTCCAATCAGGGGAGGGATGGCCATTAGTTTACTCCAATCAGGGGAGGGATGGTCATTAGTTTACTCCAATCAGGGGAGGGATGGTCATTAGTTTACTCCAATCAGGGGAGGGATGGTCATTAGTTTACTCCAATCAGGGGAGGGATGGTCATTAGTTTACTCCAATCAGGGGAGGGATGGTCATTAGTTTACTCCAATCAGGGGAGGGATGGTCATTAGTTTACTCCAATCAGGGGAGGGATGGTCATTAGTTTACTCCAATCAGGGGAGGGATGGTCATTAGTTTACTCCAATCAGGGGAGGGATGGCCATTAGTTTACTCCAATCAGGGGAGGGATGGCCATTAGTTTACTCCAATCAGGGGAGGGATGGTCATTAGTTTACTCCAATCAGGGGAGGGATGGTCATTAGTTTACTCCAATCAGGGGAGGGATGGCCATTAGTTTACTCCAATCAGGGGAGGGATGGCCATTAGTTTACTCCAATCAGGGGAGGGATGGCCATTAGTTTACTCCAATCAGGGGAGGGATGGCCATTAGTTTACTCCAATCAGGGGAGGGATGGCCATTAGTTTACTCCAATCAGGGGAGGGATGGCCATTAGTTTACTCCAATCAGGGGAGGGATGGCCATTAGTTTACTCCAATCAGGGGAGGGATGGCCATTAGTTTACTCCAATCAGGGGAGGGATGGCCATTAGTTTACTCCAATCAGGGGAGGGATGGCCATTAGTTTACTCCAATCAGGGGAGGGATGGTCCATTAGTTTACTCCAATCAGGGGAGGGATGGCCATTAGTTTACTCCAATCAGGGGAGGGATGGCCATTAGTTTACTCCAATCAGGGGAGGGATGGCCATTAGTTTACTCCAATCAGGGGAGGGATGGCCATTAGTTTACTCCAATCAGGGGAGGGATGGCCATTAGTTTACTCCAATCAGGGGAGGGATGGCCATTAGTTTACTCCAATCAGGGGAGGGATGGCCATTAGTTTACTCCAATCAGGGGAGGGATGGCCATTAGTTTACTCCAATCAGGGGAGGGATGGCCATTAGTTTACTCCAATCAGGGGAGGGATGGCCATTAGTTTACTCCAATCAGGGGAGGGATGGCCATTAGTTTACTCCAATCAGGGGAGGGATGGCCATTAGTTTACTCCAATCAGGGGAGGGATGGCCATTAGTTTACTCCAATCAGGGGAGGGATGGCCATTAGTTTACTCCAATCAGGGGAGGGATGGCCATTAGTTTACTCCAATCAGGGGAGGGATGGCCATTAGTTTACTCCAATCAGGGGAGGGATGGTAAATTAGTTTACTCCAATCAGGGGAGGGATGGCCATTAGTTTACTCCAATCAGGGGAGGGATGGCCATTAGTTTACTCCAATCAGGGGAGGGATGGCCATTAGTTTACTCCAATCAGGGGAGGGATGGCCATTAGTTTACTCCAATCAGGGGAGGGATGGCCATTAGTTTACTCCAATCAGGGGAGGGATGGCCATTAGTTTACTCCAATCAGGGGAGGGATGGCCATTAGTTTACTCCAATCAGGGGAGGGATGGCCATTAGTTTACTCCAATCAGGGGAGGGATGGCCATTAGTTTACTCCAATCAGGGGAGGGATGGCCATTAGTTTACTCCAATCAGGGGAGGGATGGCCATTAGTTTACTCCAATCAGGGGAGGGATGGGAGGGGGAAAGGATAAATAAATAAAGGGATAATGTAATAGATAAAGTGGCGGCAGGTGGTTTAGTGGTTAAGAGCGTTGTGCCAGTAACCGTAAGGTCGCTGGTTCTAATCCCCGAGCCGACTAGGTGAAAAAATCTGTCGATGTGCCCTTGAGCAAGGCACTTAACCCTAATTGCTCCTGTAAGTCGCTCTGGATAAGAGCGTCTGCTAAATGAAAAAAAATATGCAATATTAAAGCTGATCTACCCCCCCACCCCCCCCAAACAGCACACAAAAAAAAGTTTGACAAGAAAGAAAGCCGTCACTGAAACATATTCCAGTGTCTGACTGCCAGTTAAATCTTTGCCAGTGTGTGCACGTGCTACCTGCCCCTCGAAGCATTTTAGGCTACTGATGCTACAATCGTGATTCAGAAATTAGAGAGAGAGAGAGATTTTTAATTTGAGAAGAATGGATTCACTTTTTCCAATGCTAGTTAAGGATCCTATAGTGATCACGTTTCACATTGGATTTATTAAACTACAAAAAAAAGGTACGACGTTTTTTTTATTTTAAATTCTGGTGCCGCTCTGCACACACAAGCTTAGCTAGCTAGCTCTGGTCCAACGTTAAGCAAACTCTCGGAAACTCAAAGACATTCAAAGTTCCTTCATGGAAGCCGCTCCTCCGAAGGTATAATTCTGTGGGACGAATTCAGATAATTATTGTCATAACAAGATGCCCAGCGCTTCGAGCCAAGCCTCCTCATCCACCCGCTCTCGCCCCACCCGCCAAAATGTCAACTGGTTTTTATTCGGACCGGTTCAGAATTTTTGCTGGTCGAAAAAGTGGAACGGAATGAAAAAAAGAACGGTACTGTTCAGAACTGAACCCCTGGTTGTAAGTAATATGCTGCCACCTTACACCTACCCAACCCGTCAGATCTACACAAATGCCTAAAGCGTAGGGACTAGGGCGTAGGGACTAGGGCGTAGGGACTAGGGCGTAGGGACTAGGGCGTAGGGACTAGGGCGTAGGGACTAGGGCGTAGGGACTAGGGGGTAGGGACTAGGGCGTAGGGACTAGGGCGTAGGGACTAGGGCGTAGGGACTAGGGCGTAGGGCCTCCGTAGGGACTAGGGCGTAGGGACTAGGGCGTAGGGACTAGGGGTTGATTTGGGGTGCAAGTGTAACCTGACTACTCACCAGAGTGGCCATAGAGGAGAGAGGTGGCGTCTCCAGGATGCTCTCTACGTGGCTCCATCTGAAGTCCACTGTGACACTGCTCTGAGATTCTATAGTAGTGTTCTCCACCACAGTAGACCCAAACAGGTTGTACTGGGCTGTGCCTCTTGCCACCATCTGGAGGGAATCAGGGAAGTGATGAGGACAACATAGACAGTCTGGGTTTTGGTCTGTTTCAGTTATATATGAAATGGAGGAGAACATCAGAAAAACGGTAAACAGTCGGCAGTACACCTAGCTGGACGCTGCCAGTCTTAGCCAGTCGACAGCACACCTAGCTAGACACTGACAGTCTTAGCCAGTCGACAGTACACCTAGCTAGACGCTGACAGTCTTAGCCAGTCGACAGCACACCTAGCTAGACACTGACAGTCTTAGCCAGTCGACAGTACACCTAGCTAGACGCTGACAGTCTTAGCCAGTCGACAGCACACCTAGCTAGACGCTGCCAGTCTTAGCCAGTCTTAGCCAGTCGACAGCACACCTAGCTAGACACTGACAGTCTTAGCCAGACGGCAGTACACCTAGCTGGACGCTGACAGTCTTAGCCAGACGGCAGTACACCTAGCTAGACGCTGACAGTCTTAGCCAGTGAAAATATCTGAGAAACAGGGAGGACTAGGAGTTAGGCCTTACCAAGGACGGATGATGTCTTTTCTTGTGTTCCTGTTTCAGCTCATCTACAGTGATGAATGTGCCCTTGTCCACAGTTGAACCTGAACATGGAGGACAAACATCAAAGATCAGTAAACTTTTGAAACTGTGTATTTCAATGTATTTGATATGAGCTCTTAAATGACTGTCTCTACTCTTACCTGTACACGTGACAGAGTATAGCTTCACCCCGGAGACTTTGTTGCCGGTGCAGACGGTCTCTGCTCCTAACCAGGTGGTACCAGCAGGGTCGGCCATGTCACAACGTACCCAGAGAGGGAGCAGCGGGGCTGGGGACACCGCTGGAGATACGTTGGTGTTCTGCGACATGGTGTACCAAGACAACAGCTGCCTGTAAGCAGAGAACACAGTTCAACATCTGAACAGGTATAGGGACAAACAGACAGGGTACTATTACCATGGTTTCATATTAACAGACAGGGTACTATTACCATGGTTTCATATTAACAGACAGGGTACTATTACCATGGTTTCATATTAACAGACAGGGTACTATTACCATGGTTTCATATTAACAGACAGGGTACTATTACCATGGTTTCATATTAACAGACAGGGTACTATTACCATGGTTTCATATTAACAGACAGGGTACTATTACCATGGTTTCATATTAACAGACAGGGTACTATTACCATGGTTTCATATTAACAGACAGGGTACTATTACCATGGTTTCATATTAACAGACAGGGTACTATTACCATGGTTTCATATTAACAGACAGGGTACTATTACCATGGTTTCATATTAACAGACAGGGTACTATTACCATGGTTTCATATTAACAGACAGGGTACTATTACCATGGTTTCATATTAATACAATTGTAAATGTAGAAACACTACTAACACTGGAAGAAGAACAAGAAGAACAAGATGGAGGAGGAGGAGAAGAAGAAGAAGAGGAAGAACAAGATGGAGGAGAAGAACAAGATGGAGGATGAGGAGAAGAATATGAAGAACAAGATGGAGGAGAAGAATATGAAGAACAAGATGGAGGATAAGATGGGGGAGGAGGAGGAGGAGGAGATAGAGGAGGAGAAGAAGTTGGAGAAGAAGATGGAGGAGGAGGAGATTGAGGAGGAGGAGAAGAAGACCTTGCTTTCATGATGGTGAGAGGCTGCGGCCCCAACTCTATCTTGGCTTCATGATTTGTCTCATCATCAGAGTGCGTCTCATCCATTTTCTCATCTTCAGGGTCAATCTGTGGGGCCTTGTCACATGACAATACAGTAAAATAGTGGATCAATATTGGAACGATTGGGTGAATTGATTGCCTAAATGGAAATACAGTCCAGTAATACAAACGAATAATGCAAAGATACTCATAAATAGGATGGATTGACAGAGCAGAACTTACAGTTCTCTCACAGATGAAGACTGGTTTGTCACCACTGTAGATGTAGTGTAGATGTTTCTCTCCATTCACTCTCAGTATCTGAATGTCTTCCTCATATATACTGGAGTCTTCGCATTCCTCTTGAAGAGTCCTAAAAATCATAAATGCATTTTTTTTTAAACATTGATGATTAGCTGAACCAGTATCTGGACAGAGGAGGAGATCATGAACATGACATCTCTCCTCTCTAGCCCAGTTAGCTACCCAGTAATTGTCCCATTAGACAGCTCTGCAAGCATTATAAAAATGTCAAAATAACTTAGTTACAATACTCACCAAATATGGAGTTTTGCTGAGCAACTATTGTCATTTACCATTTACTACAGTCACTCCCTGTACATACTTCCAAAAAAGGTCTAAATAAAACTGCACAAGCAACCACTGGAGACACATACACACTTGGTCAGAAAACAATATAGATTATTTCCAGACAATACATTTTTTGGGTTGCTTGTAGCGCAATTTTTATTTACATATTTTTTGTAAGTCCATACCTGGCTTGACTAGCCTCGGTACTAGTCTCTTTGGCTAACGTTCCACTCAACATTCAGTTGCTGATTGGTAACAACATTAATATTTTCCATGACAACGTTATGGAACATGGGGCGTACGCAAATTTGGCGCAAACTTTTTATAACGACAACAAAAAAACACCCCTACGACCTGCTGCGGTAATTCCCTTGTGAGAAGATACGTGTCAATGCAAGATCATGTTGTACAAAGTGGCTAGAGGACTTCGTAACGAGAGAGAGATGAATCATATGGAGAATATTAGCCTACAAGATTCAATCTAACTACATTTGCATCCCATTAACGAGAGGAAGGAAACGCAAAACTGGCACCTGTTGTCATTCCTCGCACATATTTTTTTATTTATTTAACCTTTATTTAACTAGGCAAGTCAGCTAAGAACAAATTCTTATTTACAATGACGCCTACCCCGGACGACGCTGGACCAATTGTGCGCCGCCCTATGGGACCAACAATCACCACCAGATTGAGATTCAGCCTGGAATCGAGATGCAGTGCCTTAGACCGCTGCGCCACTCGGGAGCCCACATATGCTGAACACAATGACTTGTTTACATTTTTACAATTTGCTATGCTCATTTCAGTTCTATTATTTGTCCCACCTCTCTTATTAAGAGATGGAGTCCAGACAGGCTACTTTAGGTAACGTTATATTTAGGCCTATAGCATAATGCTAACATAATGTAGCTAGCATATCAAATGAATTGACAATTACAGTTTGAATGGACGTTAGTTATGGAATTATTATCCCAGCATGTGCCTTATTCTCTCTTATTAAGAGATGGAGTCCAGACAGGCTACTTTAGGAAGCTTTCTGAACAAACAGAGAGAATTAGCGAACTCACACACACCCTAAAAGGATCCATCAATCAAAGCCACCAAACACACACACACACACACAATCACATTTCTCCTAAAAACGTATTCAAAAACCTCGTACACCTTCAAAATCTGAGCTGTAGTCCATCAGACCGTAGGCACACGCTACATAATAGGCCTAGTATTTAAATTGAGGAGATGTGATCATAATCATTGTTTCAGCGATCCCACGTTAGATGTCACTCCTAATGAAAAGCACCCCCCCATCCTGCTAGTGTGAGCTGACCTGTCATCTTTTCACTCCCTCCTCTCTACATTCTCTTCCTCCGTTTCTGCTGCTAAAGCCACTTTCTACCACTCTCAATGTCAAGCCTCTGCCTCTAACCCTAGGAAGCTCTTTGCCACCTTCTCCTCCCTGCTGAATCCTCCTTCTCCTCCCCCTCTGTGGATGACTTCGTCAACCATTTTGAAAAGAAGGTTGACGACATCCGATTCTCATTTATTAAGTCAAATGACACCGCTGGTCCTGCTCACACTGCCCTACCCTATGCTTTGACTTCTTTCTCCCCTCTCTCTCCAGATGAAATCTTGCGACTTGTGATGGCCGGCCGCCCAACAACCTGCCCACTTGACCCTATCCCCTCCTCTCTTCTCCAGACCATTTCCGGAGACCTTCTTCCTTACCTCACCTCGCGCATCAACTCATCCTTGACCGCTGGCTATGTCCCTTCCGTCTTCAAGAGAGCGAGAGTTGCACCCCTCCTCAAAAAACCTACACTCGATCCCTCCGATGTCAACAACTACAGACCAGTATCGCTTCTTTCTTTTCTCTCCAAAACTCTTGAGCGTGCCGTCTCTAGCCAACTCTCCTGCTATCTCTCTCAGAATGACCTTCTTGATCCAAACCAGTCAGGTTTCAAGACTGGTCATTCAACTGAGACTGCTCTTCTCTGTGTCACTGAGGCTCTCCGCACTGCTAAAGCTAACTCTCTTTCCTCTGCTCTTATCCTTCTAGACCTATCCGCTGCCTTTGATACAGTGAACCATCAGATCCTCCTCTCCACCCTCTCCGAGTTGGGCATCTCCGGCGCTGCTCACTCTTGGATTGCGTCCTACCTGACAGGTCGCTCCTATACAGGTGGCGTGGCGAGAATCTGTCTCCGCACCACATGCTCTCACCACTGGTGTCCCCCAGGGCTCAGTTCTAGGCCCTCTCCTATTCTCTCTATACACCAAGTCACTTGGCTCTGTCATATCCTCACATGGTCTCTCCTATCATTGCTACGCAGATGACACACAATTAATTTTCTCCTTTCCCCCTTACATTTTCATTTTAGTCATTTAACAGACGCTCTTATCCGGAGCGATTTACAGTTAGTGAGTGCATACATTTTCATACTGGCCCCCCTGGCTCCCCGTGGGGAATCGAACCCACAACCCTGGCGTTGCAAGCGCCATGCTCTAACAACTGAGCTACACGCATCTCTGCATGTCTGGCAGACATATCAGTGTGGATGTCGGATCACCACCTCAAGCTGAACCTCGGCAAGACGGAGCTGCTCTTCCTCCCGGGGAAGGACTTCCCGCTCCATGATCTCACCATCACGGTTGACAACTCCATTGTGTCCTCCTCCCAGAGTGCAAAGAACCTTGGCGTGACCCTGGACAACACCCTGTCGTTCTCCGCTAACATCAAAGCGGTGACCCGATCCTGCAGGTTCATGCTCTACAACATTTGCAGTGTACGACCCTACCTCACACAGGAAGCGGCACAGGTCCTAATCCAGGCACTTGTCATCTAAGGTCTGGATTACTGCAACTCGCTGTTGGCTGGGCTCCCTGCCTGTGCCATTAAACCCCTACAACTTATCCAGAACGCTGCAGCCCGTCTGGTGTTCAACCTTCCCAAGTTCTCTCATGTCACCCCACTCCTCCGCACACTCCACTGGCTTCCAGTTGAAGCTCGCGTCTACTACAAAACCATGGTGCTTGCCTACGGAGCTGTGAGGAGGAACAGCACCTCCTTACCTTAGGCTCTGATCAGACCCTACACCCAAAGGAGGGCACTACGTTCATCCACCTCTGGCCTGCTAGCTCCCCTACCTCTACGGAAGCACAGTTCCCGCTCAGCCCAGTCAAAACTGTTCGCTGCTCTGGCACCCCAATGGTGGAACAAGCTCCCCCACGACGCCAGGACAGCGGAGTCACTCACCACCTTCCGGAGACACTTGAAACCCCAACTCTTTAAGGAATACCTGGAATAGTATAACAGTAATCATTCTACCCCCCACCATTTAAATTTTTAAAAAAGGGAGTGGTTGTCCCACTGGCTATCCTAAATTGAATGCACCAATTTGTAAGTCGCTCTGGATAAGAGCGTCTGCTAAATGACTTAAATGTAAATGTATGCCAACAGCCAGGGTTTCATTAAATATGCCTAGACATTATACTTTTTTAAATTGCACATGTAATTAAACTGGAAGCATTTAGCGATGTTCAACTTAAATTAAATGGCACAAAACGTGCTTCAAAAACCTTTATATTTTTATTTATTTAACCTTTATTTAACCAGGTAAGCCAGTTGAGAACAGGTTCTCATTTACAACTGCGACCTGGCCAAGATAAAGCAAAGTAGTGCAATAAAAACAACACAGAGTTACATATGGGGTAAAAAACATAAAGTCAGAAATACAACAGAAAATATATATACAGTGTGTGCAAATGTAGCAAGTTATGGAGGTAAGGCAATAAATAGGCTATAGTGCAGAATAATTACAATAGTATTAACACTGGAATGCTAGATGTGCAAGAGATTATGTGCAAATAGAGATACTGGGGTGCAAAATAGCAAAATAAATAACAATATAGGGATGAGGTAGTTGGGTGGGCTAATTTCAGATGGGCTGTGTACAGGTGCAGTGATCGGTAAGGTGCTCTGACAACTGATGCTTAAAGTTATTGAGGGAGATAAGAGTCTCCAGCTTCAGAGATTTTTGCAATTCGTTCCAGTCATTGGCAGCAGAGAACTGGAAGGAATGGCGGCCAAAGGAGGTGTTGGCTTTGGGAATGACCAGTGAGATATACCTGCTGGAGCGCAGACTACGGGTGGGTGCTGCTATGGTGACCAATGAGCTAAGATAAGGCGGGGATTTGCCTAGCAGTGATTTATAGATGGCCTGGAGCCAGTGGGTTTGACGACGAACATGTAGTGAGGACCAGCCAACAAGAGCGTACAGGTCACAGTGGTGGGTAGTGTATGGGGCTTTGGAGACAAAACGGATGGCACTGTGATAGACTACATCCAATTTGCTGAGAAGAGTGTTGGAGGCTATTTTGTAAATTACATCGCCAAAGTCAAGGATCGGTAGGATAGTCAGTTTTACGAGGGCATGTTTGGCAGCATGAGTGAAGGAGGCTTTATTGCGAAATAGGAAGCCGATTCTAGATTTAACTTTGGATTGGAGATTCTTTATGTGAGTCTGGAAGTTGAGTTTACAGTCTAACCAGACACCTAGGTATTTGTAGTTGTCCACATACTCTAGGTCAGACCCGTCGAGAGTGGTGATTCTAGTCGGGTGGGCGGGTGCCAGCAGCGTTCGATTGAAAAGCATGCATTTAGTTTTACTAGTGTTTAAGAGCAGTTGGAGGCTACTGAAGGATTGTTGTATGGCATTGAAGCTCGTTTGGAGGTTTGTTAACACAGTGTCCAATGAAGGGCCAGATGTATACAAAATGGTGTCGTCTGCGTAGAGGTGGATCTGAGAGTCACCAGCAGCAAGAGCGACATCATTGATATACACGGAGAAAAGTGTCGGCCCAAGAATTGAACCCTGTGGCACCCCCATAGAGACTGCCATAGGTCCAGACAACAGGCCCTCCGATTTGACACACTGAACTCTATCTGAGAAGTAGTTGGTGAACCAGGCGAGGCAGTCATTTGAGAAACCAAGGCTATTTAGTCTGCCAATAAGAATGCGGTGGTTGACAGAGTCGAAAGCCTTGGCCAGGTCGATGAAGACGGCTGCACAGTACTGTCTATTATCAATCGCGGTTATAATATCGTTTAGGACCTTGAGCGTGGCTGAAGTGCACCCGTGACCAGCTCGGAAACCGGATTGCATAGCGGAGAAGGTACGGTGGTATTCGAAATGGTCGATGATCTGTTTGTTAACTTGGCTTTCGAATACTTTCGAAAGGCAGGGCAGGATGGATATAGGTCTGTAGCAGTTTGGATCTAGAGTGTCACCCCCTTTGAAGAGGGGGATGACCGCGGCAGCTTTCCAATCTCTGGGGATCTCAGACGTTATGAAAGAGAGGTTGAACAGACTAGTAATAGGGGTAGCGACAATTTCGGCGGCTAGTTTTAGAAAGAAAGGGTCCAGATTGTCTAGCCCAGCTGATTTGTAGGGGTCCAGATTTTGCAGCGCTTTCAAAACATCAGCTGTCTGAATTTGTGTGAAGGAGAAGCGGGGGGGGCATGGGCAAGTTGCAGCAGAGGGTGCAGAGTTGGTGGCCGGGTTAGTGGTAGCCAGATGGAACGCATGGCCAGCTGTAGCAAAATGCTTGTTGAAATTCTCGATTATTGTAGATTTATCGGTGGTGATAGTGTTTCCTAGCCTCAGTGCAGTGGGCAGCTGGGAGGAAGTGCTCTTATTCTCCATGGACTTTACAGTGTCCCAAAACTTTTTGGAGTTAGTGCTACAGGATGCAAATTTCTGTTTGAAAAAGTTAGCCTTTGCTTTCCTGACTGCTTGTGTATATTGGTTCCTAACTTCCCTGAAAAGTTGCATATCGCGGGGGCTATTTGATGCTAATGCTGTACGCCACAGGATGTTTTTGTGCTGGTCAAGGGCAGTCAAGTCTGAGGAGAACCAGGGGCTATATCGGTTCTTAGTTCTGTATTTTTTGAATGGGGCATGTTTATTTAAGATTGAGAGGAAATTACTTTTAAGGAACAACCAGGCATCCTCTACTGACGGAATGAGATCTATATCCATCCAGGATACCTGGGCCAGGTCAATTAGGAAGGCCTCCTCGCTAAAGTGTTTTAGGGAGCGTTTGACAGTGATGAGGGGTGGTCGTTTGACCGCGGACCCGTTACGGACGCAGGCAATAAGGCAGTGATCGCTGAGATCCTGGTTGAAGACAGCTGAGGTGTATTTAGAGGGTATGTTAGTCAGGATGATATCTATGAGGGTACCCATGTTTACGGATTTAGGGTTGTACCTGGTAGGTTCGTTGATAATTTGCGTGAGGTTGAGGGCATCTAGCTTGGATTGTAGGATGGCTGGGGTATTAAGCATATCCCAATTTAGGTCACCAAGCAGTACAAACTCTGAGGATAAATGGGGGGCAATCAATTCACATATGGTGTCCAGGGCACAGCTGGGGGCTGAGGGGGGTCTGTAGCAAGCGGCAACAGTGAGAGACTTATTTCTGGAAAGGTGGATTTTTAGAAGTAGAAGCTCAAACTGTTTGGGCACAGACCTGGATAGTATGATAGAGTTTTGTCTCTGGCTTGCATTGCACAGGTGGTTGTCGTCTAAATTCACTGTAGTAGGCTAGGCCTAATATATAGGCTAACATACGAATAGTGGATTAACAGCAGAGCCTATGAATTAACATTAATTTACACATACATCTCGGTCTTCACTGTTCCTTTCTTGCTCAATTCATTCATCTCCGCTGGCCACTCTCTCTCCATCCTCTGTCTTCCTCTTATACACTATTCACTGTCGCCACAAACTTGGAAGCACATAATCGCCTAGAATGTCATTGTATACTGTAGCGTTAAGATTTCCCTTCACTGGAACTAAGGGGCCTAGCCCAAACCATGAAAAACAGCCCCAGACCATTATTCCTCCTCCACTAAACTTTTGCTGGCACTAATCAGTGTTTAGTTAACTTAGTTACGTTAGCTAGCTAGCTAAGTAAAGAATATCAAACTGGAGACAGAGTAGCTAGCCACACATTTAAAAAACGTGAACTCACCGAAGCATTTTCGAAAACTGTAAAGCGTCGGCGATGATCTTGGAGCCCATTTCATTAGGTAGCTAGTTACCAAAAATAGTAATGCTAGTTGGTGTTATGAAGTTTAAAAAAAAAACGTTAAATAAAAGTTGGAGCTACGATTGAATTTGACGTTTCGCGCCAATACAGCCAGTGAACTCTTGACGTCATCAGTCGGCACTACGAACATAAACTATTTTTGATCTATTAATATTTTTTACAAAAAAAAAGTGTAAGACAAAATACGTATTGTCACGCAACTGGCTCGTGTATTAGCTACATTTAAGAAGAAAAAAATATATAATTTCAGGAAATAATTATTACGAAAGTAGTCCGGTCACCACACTTGTTTCCTCCGCCGTACTGCGCAGTAAGGACCTAGGTAATCCCATTTATGTACATTTTTTTTCGCCGTTGTATAGTATTTCCAAGTTCGATATTAAACGTTCATAAATTGAAAGAGTACATGTATAGACTTAGAATCGAAAAAATATGCCTCTATGTAGTATTGAATGTATTGAAAGTTTCAGTTGTCGGAAGTGTGACGTTGTCGGAAGCATGTATCCTGTGAGTTGCCTTGCCAACTTCCTTTTCCACTGTGGCCGCCATTGAGTAAGGAGCGTGGTTCCAGGCGAGCCGAGACAAAACATATAAAAATGGTGAGAATTATAGCTTCTTTCATCAGCAAATACCATTTTAATATTAGCGATTAATCTATATTGCAAAAACAAAAGACTTCTCAAGCCAATGTGTTTGTTAGACAATACAATTTAACTTATTCTATGGTAATCTGAACGAAGTTTGACACGAGGAGCCGTTTTGGCTGGGCGCTGTTCAACCACAGGCCGTATAGCCGGGTTTTATCAAATATACGTGAAGTTCGTAAACCAGTACACATTTCTTCACGCAAATGTTTTGAATATGTACTTAGTAAACTGTAGATCACTTACATATTTGCGGAAGCTAGCCAACTAGCTAGCCAACTACAGATAATTAATCCGAAACTGACAAATGATCTGGTTAGCGTGCTAGCTAGCTAGGTACTAGCATGGCGGCTAGCGGGACTGAGAAAATCAGGATTTTACACGTACTTGCTATGATGGTGTAATTTGCGTCCTACTTTGCAATCAGTCGACAGATGCCTACTGTCATATACTGGCGCAAGTGAATGACGATAACTGAGTCTGAGCAAGATGATCATTAGCTACATGTAGCTAGGTAACGTTAATAATGTGACATGTAGCGTGTCGTTGGCTAATTAGCAACATACGATTAGGTACGTTGTAAGAACTTGCATCTGATTTTGACTTTTTTTCTCTCTCCCGTAGGCTTGTGCCCGGCCTTTAATCTCGATCTACTCCGAGAAAGGAGAAAGCTCAGGCAAAAATGTGGTTATGCCTGCGGTGTTCAAGGCTCCCATCCGCCCCGACATTGTCAACTTCGTGCACACCAACATGCGCAAGAACAGTCGTCAGCCCTACGCCGTCAGCGGGCTGGCCGGTGAGTGATCTTTTCAACATTTATTCAGTCAAATAAGGAATGCTTTGTAGTTTTTGGAGACAGGTGAAAGCTTTGGTGATGAGTTTTAACTTCGGTCCGTGTTTCTGAAACCTGATTATACTAGAAGTTCTGAAGGGCTTTCACCTGTACCACTGAACAAAAAAGATAAAAGCAACATGTAAAGTGTTGATCCCGTGTTTAATGCGCTGAAATAAAATATTCCAGAAAGTTTCCATACTCATAAAGTTTATTTCTCTAAAATTGTGCCCAAATTAGTTTACATCCTTGTTAGTGAGCATTATCCATCCACCTGACAGGTGTGGCATATCAAGAAGCTGATTAAACAGCATGATTGTCACACAGCACAATGCCACAGATGTCTCAAGTTTTGGAGGGAGCGTGCAATTGGCATGCTGACTGAAGAAATGTCAATTTTAGTAGTTGCCAGAAAATTGAATGTTCATTTCTCTACCATAAGCCGCCTCCCAACGTCTGTATTCCCGGTCATTTGAAATCCTAGAATAGGGCTTAATGAATTTATTTTATTGACGGGTTTCTTTTTTTTATATGAACTAACTCTGTAAAATATTTGTAAATTGCATTTGATATTTATGTTCAGTATATGTATCCATTGACACACAGGTTGTTATGTGTTCCAGGTCACCAGACCAGTGCTGAGTCCTGGGGTACAGGCCGGGCCGTGGCCCGTATACCCCGTGTGAGGGGAGGTGGTACCCACCGCTCTGGACAGGGAGCCTTCGGGAATGTATCCTCTCTGACAGGTTAACATTCCCCTTCAAGGTGAAGTCAACTTTTTACAACCAAACCTGTATTTTGGATGTAAATGGCGTGTTATAGAACTGTCCAGGCACTTAAGATTATCCTATCCAGCTTTGCCGTTCTCCCTGTAGCCTGCGTGGAGAATGGAGGGCGCGGTATCGCTGAAGTCGGCCAAAAAAAATTGTGATCTCAATTTCGGGTTGACTGCTTCATGTGTACAACCTCTAAAGACCTCTATCACTATACTTAAAGCTTTGCCATTTCTAAAAGTGTGTTTTTTTGGGAGCTTTTAATGTTTTATTAAAGCCCCCATACTGCAGGATGAGGAAGTCTATCGCTGATTGGGACGTTTAAAAATAAAATAACGTTGCATCACAAGTGTCTGGACACTCATATAACATGATATTTACATCCAAAATACAGATTTGGTTGTAAAAAAAAATATGGTAATTTCCTTTTATCGTCCCCTTAAATCTCAATGTCTGTGGGTATAGATATGGGCTACCTGGTCTGTGTTCATTAGGGCACATCGCAACAAAACGTTTTGCAGTGGGAGTCAAAGTTATTGTACAAATACTGATTGCTCGTAACAGTTTTTTTCATCCGTTTGTCGTCTAATGAACACAGCACATGGTGGTTCATGCTGAGGTAGGCAGACATTCGGAGGCTTGCAGTGATGGTGTAATTTGCGTCCTACACTGTGATCAGTGACATTATGCCTGATGTCATATGCTGGCACAAGTGGCTGACGAACCTTGAGTCTGAGCAAGATACTCGCAAACATTTGGGCCGGTTTCCCGAACTAAAAATGCACAATCATGGCGATACCCTGGCTAAACGTGTCCAGAAGCTCTTCCAGAAGTTTCTTCATCCATTAGTGTTGCTTGCTAGATTTCCTTGACCCTGGTTGACTGTAGATGTGTCGTGGAGGGCGCATGTTCGCCCCCACCAAGACCTGGCGCCGCTGGCACCGCAGGATCAACACCACCCAGAAGCGTTACGCCATCTGCTCCGCCCTGGCCGCCTCCGCCCTGCCCGCTCTCGTCATGTCCAAAGGTACGCCGCCCACCATCCGTTGATGCACAGCTTTGTGTTAGTTTTTAGCAGTGTTATGGACCCCAAATATAGATTTTTCATTTAAGTTTTTTAGTTTCTCGTTAGATAATCATTTTGTTAGAGACCTGTTCTGTGTGTATTTATGCATCTCTAATTTTAGTTATTTTAACCAAATCAGCCCCACTGCCTCTCAACCCAGATGAAGGACTCAATCTCTACTTATGGAATCCCAATCGTTTCCAATTGTAAATATTTAGGAGTAGATATATTTCCTTTCTTAGATAAGCCGTTGCCAGAAACGTTAACAGAACGCTCAAATCAATTAAATCCCATCTCCATAGATGGATTGATATCCCAGTTGCTTTAACTGGCAGAATATCTATTGTCAAATTGAATATATTGCCACGGCTTAATTTTGGTAGTTTAATGCTTCCCGTGGCTCCCCCTTCAGGCTATTGGAATGAACTTCATAGTGCAGTTTCAAAATGTATTTGGCAAGGTATGGTAAGAGATAAAATTAACAAACTTACAAAGAGGGAAATACTTAGGACTATCCGTAGCAAACTTAGTTATGTATGTGAAATACAACGAATGGAAAATTCAATATTAATTAATATTTTGTACCTTTACAAAATATTAATTCAAAAAAAAAAAATCCCAATGAATAAAAATGTGGCTACAATCAAAGGCTCTTGTAATGTCCATCCATAAGACTTGCTATGATGGTGTAATTTGCGTCTGACTCTGTGTGCGGTGACGGTTTGCCGACTGTCTTACAGCTGCCACAGTGGGTTGACGAAATAATAATTCTGAGCAAGATGTCTTTTTAACATTAACAGCCTGTACTAGAGAAGCTGTACATGTGGCGGCAGGTAGCTTAGTGGTTAAGAGCGTTGTGCCAGTAACCGAAAGGTCGCTGGTTCTAATCCCCGAGCCGACTAATCTGTGTATCCTTGAGCAAGGCACTTAACCCTAATTGCTCCTGTAAGTCGCTCTGGATAAGAGCGTCTGCTAAATGACTAAAATGTAAAATAATAATATAAATAATGTAGCTGTTACTTGAGTTGTAGCCATTAGTGTTGCATAACAAAAGCTCAGTACTTCACTAGCTACTAGAACGTGACAAATGGTTCGGTACTAGAATTTGTTACTTTCGGTACTTCTGTCAAATGTCTCGCGTCATATAATAATAATATGCCATTTAGCAGACGCTTTTATCCAAAGCGACTTAGTCATGCGTGCATACATTTTTGTGCATGGGTGGTCCCGGGGATCGAACCCACTACCCTGGCGTTACAAGCGCCGTGCTCTACCAGCTGAGCTACAGAGGACCACCATATGCGGATTGAGTTTGTCTGAACCTTTTTCGTGGGCAGTATTAATATAAAATACATTTTCTTAACATGACATTTGCATTGTAACGTTATTCTACTAGGAACTAAATTTTGAGTGACAGTGACATTAACATATATTCATGTGAGCATTATGATTACAACCCAAAAGTAATGTGAGATGCACTCAACTTAGCTACATTTTTCTGGTATCGTGAACACGTATTAGAAACCTGGGTGGTATACAGGCTCCTGGGGTATTTTGAAATCCCGTCAAGTATTTATTTTTATTCTAAATTAAATTGAGCCTGTCTCACAGTATGTTTGATCCAGTGTTGCGCAGCAGCGGGTGATCAAGTTACACTTGAAGTTCAGTTTGCCAGCTAAATATCTTAACTAGAAGTTAACTAAGATGTGCCATACATTTTCTCCAGCTATGCATTTGGTTTGCTAACTTGCTAGCTGTAGGCGGATAGCTTGCGAGATCAAGCTTCTTGTTTAGTGCAGACGATCAAGTGGGAGTAGTTTAACTGTTGTATAATTTTATGAACCGGGTTGTCTGTCCTTATATTCGTGTGTTAGCATTTAGCTAGCATCATCTATGGGAATTCGCCTGTAGTTTTAGCATATTTTACTTTATTTTTTTTAAACCTTTGGAATAGCACCCCCTTGTGTACACTGCCGGTAATACCGTATATCCTAGTACGGTACAGAAACGGAATGGGGATCTTGATACTGCTCAACCCTAATTAGAAAGGTTCTAATCTTGTCATTTTTCCTTCAGGACATGTAGATGTATAAAAATTTCTGAGCAAAATAACTTGTAGCATTTAGAACAAAAAGGATCTGTATAACAATCCGAAGCCTGTACTGGATGGTCTCCTTCCTCCAGGACACCGGATTGAGGAGATCCCAGAGGTTCCCCTGGTAGTTGAAGATAAAGTGGAAGGTTACAAGAAGACAAAGGAGGCTGTGCTTCTGCTGAAGAAACTCAAGGCCTGGAACGACATCAAGAAGGTTAATAATATTAGCTATACTTAATACTGTCTCACTGGTCCTCGTTGACTTTTCGTGCGTTTGTTCTGTATAGTGATACGAAGCCATGATGAGGTTCCACTTCAGGTCCGTGTTTCTGAATCCTGATATTTAATGTGAAGTCCTGAGCATAACAAATCCCTGATATTAGCAACATAAAAGCACGGCTGTTGTCTCCTTTTGTTGACATGAGATGATCCGTGATATTGTGGATCTGTGCAGGTGTACGCGTCCCAGCGCATGCGTGCCGGTAAAGGAAAGATGAGGAATCGCAGGCGTATCCAGCGCAAAGGACCGTGCATCATCTACAACCAAGACCAAGGCGTCACCAAGGCATTCAGAAACATCCCTGGTATGTATTGGTAGTGTCTACCCTGGTGTGGGTGGGTGGGGTCTACCCTGGTATGGGTGGGTGGGGTCTACCCTGGTATGGGTGGGTGGGGTCTACCCTGGTATGGGTGGGTGGGGTCTACCCTGGTGTGGGTGGGGTCTACCCTGGTATGGGTGGGTGGGGTCTACCCTGGTGTGGGTGGGTAGGGTCTCCCCTGGTGTGGGTGGGTGGGGTCTCCCCTGGTGTGGGTGGGTGGGTGGGGTCTACCCTGGTGTGGGTGGGGTCTCCCCTGGTGTGGGTGGGTGGGGTCTACCCTGGAGTGGGTGGGTGGGGTCTACCCTGGTGTGGGTGGGTGGGGTCTACCCTGGTGTGGGTGGGTGGGGTCTCCCCTGGTGTGGGTGGGTGGGTGGGGTCTACCCTGGGGTGGGTGGGTGGGGTCTACCCTGGTGTGGGTGGGTGGGGTCTACCCTGGAGTGGGTGGGTGGGGTCTACCCTGGAGTGGGTGGGTGGGGTCTACCCTGGTGTGGGTGGGTGGGGTCTACCCTGGTGTGGGTGGGTGGGGTCTACCCTGGAGTGGGTGGGTGGGGTCTACCCTGGTGTGGGTGGGTGGGTGGGGTCTACCCTGGTGTGGGTGGGTGGGGTCTACCCTGGTGTGGGTGGGTGGGGTCTACCCTGGTGTGGGTGGGTAGGGTGTACCCTGGTGTGGGTGGGTAGGGTCTCCCCTGGTGTGGGTGGGTGGGGTCTACCCTGGTGTGGGTGGGTGGGTGGGGTCTACCCTGGTGTGGGTGGGTAGGTGGGGTCTACCCTGGTGTGGGTGGGTGGGGTCTACCCTGGTGTGGGTGGGTAGGTGGGGTCTACCCTGGTGTGGGTGGGTGGGGTCTACCCTGGTGTGGGTGGGTAGGTGGGGTCTACCCTGGTGTGGGTGGGTGGGGTCTACCCTGGTGTGGGTGGGTAGGTGGGGGTCTACCCTGGTGTGGGTGGGTGGGGTCTACCCTGGTGTGGGTGGGTGGGGTCTACCCTGGTATGGGTGGGTGGGGTCTACCCTGGTATGGGTGGGTGGGGTCTACCCTGGTATGGGTGGGTGGGGTCTACCCTGGTATGGGTGGGTGGGGTTCTACCCTGTTGTGGGTGGTAGGGTCTCCCCTGGTGTGGGTGGGTGGGGTCTACCCTGGAGTGGGTGGGTGGGGTCTACCCTGGTGTGGGTGGGTGGGGTCTACCCTGGTGTGGGTGGGTGGGGTCTACCCTGGTGTGGGTGGGTGGGGTCTACCCTGGTGTGGGTGGGTGGGTGGGGTCTACCCTGGTGTGTGTGGGTGGGTGGGGTCTACCCTGGTGTGGGTGGGTGGGGTCTACCCTGGTGTGGGTGGGTAGGGTGTACCCTGGTGGTGGGTGGGTGGGGTCTACCCTGGTGTGGGTGGGTGGGGTCTACCCTGGTGTGGGTGGGTGGGGTCTTACCCTGGTGTGGGTGGGTAGGGTGTACCCTGGTGTGGGTGGGTAGGGTGTACCCTGGTGTGGGTGGGTAGGGTGTACCCTGGTGTGGGTGGGTAGGGTGTACCCTGGTGTGGGTGGGTAGGTGGGGTCTACCCTGGTGTGGGTGGGGTCTACCCTGGTGTGGGTGGGTGGGGTCTACCCTGGTGTGGGTGGGTGGGGTCTACCCTGGTGTGGGTGGGTGGGGTCTACCCTGGAGTGGGTGGGTAGGGTCTACCCTGGTGTGGGTGGGTAGGGTCTACCCTGGTGTGGGTGGGTAGGGTGTACCCTGGTGTGGGTGGGTAGGGTCTCCCCTGGTGTGGGTGGGTAGGTGGGGTCTACCCTGGTGTGGGTGGGTGGGTGGGGTCTACCCTGGTGTGGGTGGGTAGGGTGTACCCTGGCGTGGGTGGGTGGGGTCTACCCTGGTGTGGGTGGGTGGGGTCTACCCTGGTGTGGGTGGGTAGGGTGTACCCTGGTGTGGTGGGTGGGGTCTACCCTGGTGTGGGTGGGTGGGGGTCTACCCTGTGTGGTGGGTGGGGGTCTACCTGGTGTGGTGGTGGGGTCTACCCTGGTGTGGGTGGGGTCTACCCTGGTGTGGGTGGGGTCTACCCTGGTGTGGGTGGGGTCTACCCTGGTGTGGGTGGGGTCTACCCTGGGGTGGGGTGGGTGGGGTCTACCCTGGAGTGGTGGGTGGGGTCTACCCTGGTGTGGGTGGGTGGGTCTACCCTGGTGTGGGTGGGGGGGGTCTACCCTGGTGTGGGGTGGGGTCAACCCTGGTGGGGTGGTGGGGTCTACCCTGGAGTGGGGTGGGTGGGGTCTACCCTGGTGTGGGTGGGTGGGGTCTACCTGGTGTGGGGGGTGGGGTCTACCCTGGTGTGGGTGGGTGGGGGTCTCACCACTGGTGGGGTGGGTGGGGTCTACCCTGGTGTGGGTGGGGTCTACCCTGGTGTGGGTGGGGTCTACGACTGATTTCTGATAATCAGTTCCTCTTTAATTGTGGGGCTGCATGTCTACAACATCAGGGTCATTTAAAAAGGCTAACAAGCTTTTTATGTCAGTGAAGAAAGAGCTAGCTAGCTATACTACATAACCAAAAGTATGTGGACACCTGCTCGTCGAACATCTCATTCCAAAATCATGGGCATTAATATGGAGTTGGTCCCCCCTTTGCTGCTATAACAGCCGTTGTTGCTCCTAGACGTTTCCACTTCACAATAACAGCACTTACAGATCTAGCAGGGCAAACATTTGACCAACTGACTTGTGGGAAAGGTGGCATCCTATGACGGTGCCACATTGAAAGTCACTGAGTTCTTCAGTAAGGCCATTCTACTGCCTGTGTTTGTCTATGGAGATTGCATGGTCGTGTGCTTGATTTTTATACACCTGTCAGCAACGGGTGTGGCTGAATCCACTAATTTGAAGGGCTGTCCACATACTTTTGGCCATGTAGTGTATGGTGACTTGGCACGTCAGGTCCATGTTTCTGAACACCGTGATTTCAATGGACGTTCTGAGCCCAACCTTTTCACTCATGAAACTGAATACAAAATGTCAATGGATACTAGTTCTTTGTAAAATAATGAATACTTTTTTCTTTTTGATGGCATATTTTCCACTGTAGATTTAAGCATCGGGTTAAATTGGCACAATGTTTATTAATTTGTATTTGATGGTCGTTCTCCCAGGTATCACCCTGCAGAACGTGAACAAGCTGAACCTGCTCCGGCTCGCCCCCGGTGGTCACGTCGGTCGCTTCTGTATCTGGACCGAGTCCGCCTTCCGCAAGCTGGACCAGCTTTACGGTACCTGGCGCAAATCTGCCTCTCTCAAGGTGGACTACAAGTGAGTCAAATGAGGGTTATGTAGTGTCCCAGCCAGTAAAACTGGTTGAAATTTTAAGTTGCTAATCTGGGGTTGTAGTGAGCAGAGTTGGTAACAGATTTGAGAGCTTTTTAATTTTCTACAGTGATGAGCTTCCACTTCGGTCCGTGTTTCTGAACCCTGATATCTACCAGAAGTTCTGAGTTTTGGTGAAAGGCTCTATAATGGTCTGCTGCTAAACCACATGCTGCTCACTAACAATCATAAGAGGTAAATTATGTTCTGACCTGACCGTTGGCATCTCTCTCCCTCTCTCTCTCTCCCTCTCTCCCTCTCTCTGTCTCTGTCTCTCTCTCTCTCTCTCTCTCTCTCTCTCTCTCTCTCTCTCCCTCTCTCTCTCTCTCTCTCTCTCTCTCTCTCTCTCCCTCTCTCCCTCTCTCTCCCTCTCTCTCTCTCTCTCTTCCAGTCTGCCCATGCACAAGATGACCAACACAGATCTGAGCAGGATTCTGAAGAGTGAGGAGATCCAGAAAGCACTTCGTGCACCAAAGTAAGCCCTGCTCACTTTTATATATTACATAGCATTATGGGTACTGTAGTACAGAGCATTGTGGGTACTGTAGTACGTTATTGCTCCACTGTGATATGAAGCCATGATGAGGTTCCACTTCAGGTCCGTGTTTCTGAATCCTGATTTTAATGGAAGTCCTGAGCATGACCGTACAGCCAATTTTGGCTTTGGTCAAAAGTAGTGCACTTTATAGGAAATGGTGTGCTATTTTGAGGTGCAACCATTCTCAACACATGGACCACAGAATATCAACAGATTCTCCCTCCTACTGACCCCGTCTCTCCTGTCTCCTCACAGCAAGAAGATCAGGCGCAGGGTCCTGAAGAAGAACCCGCTGAAGAACCTGAGAATCATGATGAAGCTGAACCCCTACGCCAAGACAGCCAGACGTCAAGCCATCCTGCTGCATGACCCGGCTGTGAGTATAAATATAAATAAAACATTACATTATTACTCTACTGATGTACCATGTTTGTGGGGGGGGGGGGTAAGCCTACATGAAACACAGACCTTATTTTGAAGTGTTTCTATAAAAAAAAATCCCCCTATGGGAAAAATGAAATGGTGGAGAAGCTATTGGAACCAATTCTCTGTTTGACTGCTAGGTTTTATGGGTATTATGACCCATAATGCGGTACTCGGTGACTACTAGTATGAATACCTCCATACATCCAGGTCCTGTCTACATGAGTGTCTCTCGCCCTACCCACAGATCAAGGCCAAGATGCTGAAGCCCAAGAAGAAGCCGGCCAAGAAGGCAGCCCCGGCCAAGACAGCCCCGGCCAAGGCAGCCCCCGTCAAGGCAGCCCCGGCCAAGACAGCCCCCGCCAAGGCAGCCCCCGTCAAGGCATAAAGCGGCTCTTCTAACAGACTGGTGTTCAGATGGTTTCAAATAAAATCTAAACAAAATCATCCTATTTGTCTTTTATTTTTTTATGTTGAATACATGGCAGGTTATGGAGAGCAGTGTGTGTTGGTTCTAGTTATGTCATTTTAATGTGTCCAATTTTAAGACCCTGACAACCAGGTGAGGGGCGTTCCTAACTCATACTTAAGACCCTGACAACCAGGTGAGGGGCGTTCCTAACTCATCCTTAAGACCCTGACAACCAGGTGAGGGGCGTTCCTAACTCATACTTAAGACCCTGACAACCAGGTGAGGGGCGTTCCTAACTCATCCTTAAGACCCTGACAACCAGGTGAGGGGCGTTCCTAACTCATCCTTAAGACCTGGACAACCAGGTGAGGGGCGTTCCTAACTCATCCTTAAGACCCTGACAACCAGGTGAGGGGCGTTCCTAACTCATCCTTAAGACCCTGACAACCAGGTGAGGGGCGTTCCTAACTCATCCTTAAGACCCTGACAACCAGGTGAGGGGCGTTCCTAACTCATCCTTAAGACCCTGACAACCAGGTGAGGGGTGTTCCTAACTCATCCTTAAGACCCTGACAACCAGGTGAGGGGCGTTCCTAACTCATCCTTAAGACCTGGACAACCAGGTGAGGGGCGTTCCTAACTCATCCTTAAGACCCTGACAACCAGGTGAGGGGTGTTCCTAACTCATCCTTAAGACCCTGACAACCAGGTGAGGGGCGTTCCTAACTCATCCTTAAGACCCTGACAACCAGGTGAGGGGCGTTCCTAACTCATCCTTAAGACCCTGACAACCAGGTGAGGGGCGTTCCTAACTCATCCTTAAGACCCTGACAACCAGGTGAGGGGCGTTCCTAACTCATCCTTAAGACCCTGACAACCAGGTGAGGGGCGTTCCTAACTCATCCTTAAGACCCTGACAACCAGGTGAGGGGCGTTCCTAACTCATCCTTAAGACCTGGACAACCAGGTGAGGGGCGTTCCTAACTCATCCTTAAGACCTGGACAACCAGGTGAGGGGCGTTCCTAACTCATCCTTAAGACCCTGACAACCAGGTGAGGGGCGTTCCTAACTCATCCTTAAGACCTGGACAACCAGGTGAGGGGCGTTCCTAACTCATCCTTAAGACCCTGACAACCAGGTGAGGGGCGTTCCTAACTCATCCTTAAGACCCTGACAACCAGGTGAGGGGCGTTCCTAACTCATCCTTAAGACCTGGACAACCAGGTGAGGGGCGTTCCTAACTCATCCTTAAGACCCTGACAACCAGGTGAGGGGCGTTCCTAACTCATCCTTAAGACCTGGACAACCAGGTGAGGGGCGTTCCTAACTCATCCTTAAGACCCTGACAACCAGGTGAGGGGCGTTCCTAACTCATCCTTAAGACCTGGACAACCAGGTGAGGGGCGTTCCTAACTCATCCTTAAGACCCTGACAACCAGGTGAGGGGCGTTCCTAACTCATCCTTAAGACCCTGACAACCAGGTGAGGGGCGTTCCTAACTCATCCTTAAGACCTGGACAACCAGGTGAGGGGCGTTCCTAACTCATCCTTAATTCATCCGTTAAGTAGAAGGTAATTGTGTCAATGACTTGAACATGCTGCGTTTGTTCCTTATTCAGACCCTTTCCCTTTCTCTACATTTTGTTATGTTACAGCCTTATTCTAATATTGATTAAATCGTTTTCTTCTCATCAACCTACACACAATACCCCATAATGACAAAGAAACAACAGGTCTTTAGATGTTCTGTGAATTTATAAAAAAATAAATAACACTTAAGTATTCAGACCCTTTACTCGGTACTTTGTTGAAGCACCTTTTGGCAGCGATTACAGCCTCAAGTCTTCTTGGATATGACGCTACAAGCTTGGCACACCTGTATTTGGGGAGTTTCTCCCATTCTTCTCTGCAGATCCTCTCAAGCTCTGTCAGGTTGGATGGGGAGCGTCGCTGCACAGCTATTTTCAGGTCTCTCCAGAGATGTTCGATCGGGTTCAAGTCCGGGCTCTGGCTGGGCCACTCAAGGACATTCAGAGACTTGTCCTGAAGCCACTCCTGTGTTGTCTTGGCTGTGTGTTTAGGGTCGTTGTCCTATTGGAAGGTGAACCTTCGCCCCAGTCTGAGGTCCTGAGCGCTCTGGAGCAGGTTTTCATCAAGGATCTCTGTACTTTGATGCGTTCATCTTTGCCTCGATCCTGACTAGTCTCCCAGTCCCTGCCGCTGAAAAACATCCCCACAGCATGATGCTGCCACCACCATGCTTCACCGTAGGGATGGTGCCAGGTTTCCTCCAGATGTGACGCTTGGCATTCAGGCCAAAGAGTTCAATCTTGGTTTCATCAGACCAGAGAATCTTGTTTCTCATGGTCTGAGATTCCTTTAGGTGCCTTTTGGCAAACTCCAAGCGGGCTGTCATGTGCCTTCTACTGAGTGGCTTCCGTCTGTCCACTCTACCATAAAAGCCTGATTGGTGGAGTGCTGCAGAGATGGTTATCCGATCTCCACAGAGGAACTCTGGAGCTCTGTCAGTGACCATTGGGTTCTTGGTCACCTCCCTGACCAAGGCCCTTTCTCTCCCGATTGCTCAGTTTGGCCGGGCGGCCAGCTCTAGGAAGAGTCTGGGTGGTTCCAAACTAATTCCATTTAAGAATGATGGAGGCCACTGTGTTCTTGGGGACCTTCAATGCTGCAGACATTTTTTGGTACCCTTCCCCAGATCTGTGCCTCGACACAATCCTGTCTTGGAGCTCTACGGATAATTCCTTCGACCTCATGGCTTGGTTTTTGCTCTGACATACACTGTCAACTGTGGGACCTTATATAGACAGGTGTGTGCCTTTCCAAATCATGTCCAATCAATTTAATTTACCACAGGTGGACTCCAATCAAGTTGTAGAAACCTCTCAAGGATGATCAATGGAAACAGGATGCACCTCAGCTCAATTTCAAGTCTCATAACAAAGGGTCTGAATACTTATGAAATATATTTTTTTATATATATACATTTGGGGAAAAAATTAACCTGTTGTCGCGTTGTCATTATAGGGTATTGTGTGTAGATTGAGACATTTTATTTATTTAATCAATTTTAGAGTAAGGCAAGGGGACTGAATACTTTCAGAATGCACCGTAGTTAAATTACAACAAGGGAGGAGTGACACTCCCCTCCATGGAATGAATTTTACTGTGCTGTAGTAGGATATTTCTTGAAACAGTATGAGAAGTAGGCTATATACACTACTTAACAATAGTGTTAATGACAGTAAGTAGGCTATATACACTACTTAACAATAGTGTTAATGACAGTAAGTAGGCTATATACACTACTTAACAATAGTGTTAATGACAGTAAGTAGGCTATATACACTACTTAACAATAGTGTTAATGACAGTAAGTAGGCTATATACACTACTTAACAATAGTGTTAATGACAGTAAGTAGGCTATATACACTACTTAACAATAGTGTTAATGACAGTAAGTAGGCTACAGTGGGGAGAACAAGTATTTGATACACTGCCGATTTTGCAGGTTGTCCTACTTACAAAGCATGCAGAGGTCTGTAATGTTTATCATAGGTACACTTCAACTGTGAGAGACGGAATCTAAAACAAAAATCCAGAAAATCACATGATTTTTAAGTAATTAATTTGCATTTTATTGCATGACATAAGTATTTGATACATCAGAAAAGCAGAACTTAATATTTGGTACAGAAACCTTTGTTTGCAATTACACAGATCATACGTTTCCTGTAGGTCTTGACCAGGTTTGCACACACTGCAGCAGGGATTTTGGCCCACTCCTCCATACAGACCTTCTCCAGATCCTTCAGGTTTCGGTGCTGTCGCTGGGCAATATGGACTTTCAGCTCCCTCCAAAGATGTTCTATTGGGTTCAGGTCTGGAGACTGGCTAGGCCACTCCAGGACCTTGAGATGCTTCTTACGGAGCCACTCCTTAGTTGCCCTGGCTGTGTGTTTCGGGTCATTGTCATGCTGGAAGACCCAGCCACGACCCATCTTCAATGCTCTTACTGAGGGAAGGAGGTTGTTGGCCAAGATCTCGCGATACATGGCCCCATCCATCCTCCCCTCAATACGGTGCAGTCGTCCTGTCCCCTTTGCAGAAAAGCATCCCCAAAGAATGATGTTTCCACCTCCATGCTTCACGGTTGGGATGGTGTTCTTGGGGTTGTACTCATCCTCCTTCTTCCTCCAAACACGGCAAGTGGAGTTTAGACCAAAAAGCTATTTTTGTCTCATCAGACCACATGACCTTCTCCCATTCCTCCTCTGGATCATCCAGATGGTCATTGGCAAACTTCAGACGGGCCTGGACATGCGCTGGCTTGAGCAGGGGGACCTTGCGTGCGCTGCAGGATTTTAATCCATGACGGCGTAGTGTGTTACTAATGGTTTTCTTTGAGACTGTGGTCCGAGCTCTCTTCAGGTCATTGACCAGGTCCTGCCGTGTAGTTCTGGGCTGATCCCTCACCTTCCTCATGATCATTGATGCCCCACAAGGTGAGATATTGCATGGAGCCCCAGACCGAGGGTGATTGACCGTCATCTTGAACTTCTTCCATTTTCTAATAATTGCGCCAACAGTTGTTGCCTTCTCACCAAGCTGCTTGCCTATTGTCCTGTAGCCCATCCCAGCCTTGTGCAGGTCTACCATTTTATCCCTGATGTCCTTACACGGCTATCTGGTCTTGGCCATTGTGGAGAGGTTGGAGTCTGTTTGATTGAGTGTGTGGACAGGTGTCTTTTATACAGGTAACGAGTTCAAACAGGTGCAGTTAATACAGGTAATGAGTGGAGAACAGGAGGGCTTCTTAAAGAAAACCTAACAGGTCTGTGAGAGCCGGAATTCTTACTGGTTGGTAGGTGATCAAATACTTATGTCATGCAATAAAATGCTAATTAATTACTTAAAAATCATACAATGTGATTTTCTGGATTTTTGTTTTAGATTCCGTCTCTCACAGTTGAAGTGTACCTATGATAAAAATTTCAGACATCTACATGCTTTAAGTAGGAAAACCTGCAAAATCAGCAGTGTATCAAATACTTGTTCTCCCCACTGTATATACACTACTTAGCAATAGTGTTCTAATATGGGGGGGCAGTGATTGCTCAGACAGTATCCAATACCTACTTACTGTCATTCAAATAAAGCAGACCTAAATATTGTAAGTCGCTCTGGATAAGAGCGTCTGCTAAATGATGTAAATTAAAACAGCAGACCTACATATTGTCCTTATTAAAACAGCAGACCTACATATTGTCCTTATTAAAACAGCAGACCTACATATTGTCCTTATTATTTTATTATCCTGTGTCTTTTTCCTCTCCTTCTGCCCTAATCACAGGTGTCCTGTATGTTCCTGATTGGTGGTCGTTGGGGTGTCTGCTGATTGCTAAGGTGGACCAATCAGTGAACATTCCTCTGCATTGCACCACCTGTTTCTGGTTTTTCAATCACACATCCCATTGTTTAAAAGCCGGTCAGTTGTGTTTGTAGAGAGAGACTATTTTCCGTATGTGAGAATGGATACTGTGGTGTTTTGTGTACTCACTCATTTGCTGGTTACTCTGTTTGGTAACTTTGTTGTGTGTTTCTGGGAAAAGGGGGATTTAAGCAAGTTGCCCTTGGGCATACATTACCCGTAGGAAGAAATCTGTCTAAAAACACTAGTTAGACCTGATCGGACCACCCACTGTATTTTTGTATGATAGCAGTAGCTTAGCGGTTCTTGAGGCAGGCAAGATCAGTTTAGGTTTTTTTTACACTATTGTTTCATTTCTTGGGTCCTGCTCAGCCCTTTTTCCCAAACCTTTACCGTGTGTTCAAAAATAAACATTTTATGTTTGACGGTAGTTTATGGTTGTCGTGTAGTTTTTGTTCTCACTGTTTCCATGTCACGATTCTAATTTGCATGAATTATGTTACGGGTCTCTTGTCCATCCACCCTAGACGTTTAAAGCATCGGGGTTCGTAACACCTAAATATTGTCCTTATTAAAACAAAGCAGTATACAAGTACCTGTAAATCCAGTGTTGTGATTATACTAGTCTGATTTGGAGGCAGTGGGGAAAGTAGCAGACCTTTCTAATCACTTTCCCCACCTTAAGCGTGCCCATGTTCGGTGTCAGAGGAAGGCCCAAAGAATTGTCAGAAATCCTGCCACCCAAGCCACAGACTGTTCTTTCTGCTACCGCACGGCAAGCGGTACCGATGCACCAAGTCTGGAACCAACAGGACCCTGAACAGCTTCTACACCCAAGCCATAAGACTTCTAAACAAAACTGCTAAATAGCTAATCAAATGGTTACCCGGACTACCTGCATGGACCCTTTTTTGCACTAACTCTCTTGCACTGACTCTATGCACACACACTGGACTCTACCCACACACTCACACATACTTACACTGACACCCCAACACACACACACGCATCCTGACGCCATACACACACGCATCCTGACGCCATACACACACTCACACACACACTTTCACACTCACCACATACACTGCTGCTAGTCACTTTACCCCTACCCATATGTACAGTACATAGCTAACTCAAGGACCTCGTACCCCTGCACATGGACTCAGTACTGCTAGTCCCTGTATACAGCCATGTTATTTTTACTCTTTATTTTGATTCCTTATTTACTGTCACCATTTCTATTTTAGTATTTTATTTTGTATCTTATTTTTAACTCTGCATTGTTGGAAAACGACCCGTAAGTAAGCATTTCACTGTTAGTCTACACCTGTTGTCTACGACGCATGTGACAAATAAATACAATTTGATTTGATTCCAGAAAGCCCCTGTTATGTAGCCTATGGCTGTCTCTCTCCAGAAAGCCCCTGTTATGTAGCCTATGGCTGTCTCTCTCCAGAAAGCCCCTGTTATGTAGCCTATGGCTGTCTCTCTCCAGAAAGCCCCTGTTATGTAGCCTATGGCTGTCTCTCTCCAGAAAGCCCCTGTTATGTAGCCTATGGCTGTCTCTCTCCAGAAAGCCCCTGTTATGTAGCCTATGGCTGTCTCTCTCCAGAAAGCCCCTGTTATGTAGCCTATGGCTGTCTCTCTCCAGAAAGCCCCTGTTATGTAGCCTATGGCTGTCTCTCTCCAGAAAGCCCCTGTTATGTAGCCTATGGCTGTCTCTCTCCAGAAAGCCCCTGTTATGTAGCCTATGGCTGTCTCTCTCCAGAAAGCCCCCTGTTATGTAGCCTATGGCTGTCTCTCTCCAGAAAGCCCCTGTTATGTAGCCTATGGCTGTCTCTCTCCAGAAAGCCCCTGTTATGTAGCCTATGGCTGTCTCTCTCTCTGCCTGCCTGCCTTCCAAATACCTGAATTGCAGTTTTACAGGTCCAGTCTGTTGCTGTGTGTTCTAGTGTTCTAGTGTTCCACTCCACACCAACATTCCATAGCTCTGTCACTGAGTTTCTAAACCCAGAGGCGCAACATCGCGAGACTTCCGGGAACGCTTGCGAAACAGACCAAACAGGAAGTCAGTGAGAGAAGTTAAAAATTATTCCTTTCTTGCCTAGATTGGAGCCAATGTCTTAAGTAGTTGAACACGTTATTACTCCAACCTCGTGAAAGTGACAAAAACAACTTTATATCGACGGAGTGCCTTTGATTTGACGGCCTGCACATGCGCAGCTCTGCGGCGAGACGACCGTTAGACCCGAAGACCTGTTGCTACGCATGAGCTTATCTAGCCACCGTCGCCATGACGTCGACTACAAGTGTGATCTGGGATTTCTATTGGAGAAGCAGTTTTAGCCTATCTTCATACTGTGCCGTCTTTAGCTCTGTCCTACCCACCTGCCTCAGCCTGCCCAACACCACTAAAGGAATGTAATGTCTTCTCTCTCTGCTCTGGACATACATGGTCCTGCCGACAGCGTGTTCCTACAGTGTTGGACATGTTGGAAGAAAATAAGAAAAACAAAGCTTCAACAAGTGCAACTAAATAGATACAGGGAGGGGGAAAAACTGTATTTGATCCCTCACTGTAGGCTTAGAGGCCCTTTTTTGAAGCGTGGCGACAGTTGGCTTCAAGCAACCCTCTCATTCATGATAGAGGTGAACTATGATAGGGCATAAATTGAGCGAACCAGCCGTATGATATCGCCATATCAGATCGGTTTAGCAGCACATATAAAGTGATCCTCATTGTAATGGATCCATCGTGAAGTGATCCTCATTGTAATGGATCCATCGTGAAGTGATCCTCATTGTAATGGATCCATCGTGAAGTGATCCTCATTGTAATGGATCCATCGTGAAGTGATCCTCATTGTAATGGATCCATCGTGAAGTGATCCTCATTGTAATGGATCCATCGTGAAGTGATCCTCATTGTAATGGATCCATCGTGAAGTGATCCTCATTGTAATGGATCCATCGTGAAGTGATCCTCATTGTAATGGATCCATCGTGAAGTGATCCTCATTGTAATGGATCCATCGTGAAGTGATCCTCATTGTAATGGATCCATCGTGAAGTGATCCTCATTGTAATGGATCCATCGTGAAGTGATCCTCATTGTAATGGATCCATCGTGAAGTGATCCTCATTGTAATGGATCCATCGTGAAGTGATCCTCATTGTAATGGATCCATCGTGAAGTGATCCTCATTGTAATGGATCCATCGTGAAGTGATCCTCATTGTAATGGATCCATCGTGAAGTGATCCTCATTGTAATGGATCCATCGTGAAGTGATCCTCATTGTAATGGATCCATCGTGAAGTGATCCTCATTGTAATGGATCCATCGTGAAGTGATCCTCATTGTAATGGATCCATCGTGGTGCCGGCTACAGTTTCCATGAAGCACTGAAGGCTGACTAGGACAGCGTCCCAAATGCCACCCTATTTCCTATATAGTGCACTTCTTTAGACCTGGAACCACGGGGGTCAAAAGTAGTGCATTATATCGGGAATAGGGTGGCATTTGGGACGCATTCCTAGGACTATACTTCTCTCAGGTCTCTGAGAACTAGTGTGTTGTCACAACAGTTCACCGCCTCCATTAATCCTTACGTTAGGTTATCACCACCTCCATTAATCCTTACGTTAAGTTATCACCACCTCCATTAATCCTTACGTTAAGTTATCACCACCTCCATTAATCCTTACGTTAAGTTATCACCACCTCCATTAATCCTTACGTTAAGTTATCACCACCTCCATTCATCCTTACGTTAAGTTATCACCACCTCCATTAATCCTTACGTTAAGTTATCACCACCTCCATTAATCCTTACGTTAAGTTATCACCACCTCCATTCATCCTTACGTTAAGTTATCACCACCTCCATTCATCCTTACGTTAAGTTATCACCACCTCCATTCATCCTTACGTTAGGCTACTGCTGGACAGCAGATGTTGTCTGGTGTGACTGGACTGAGTACTTTCCTCCATCTCAACACCACATGACATCATCCTATATTCCACGATCTGTCTGCCTGCAGAAGGACAGCAGCTCCTGATGACAAGACAGTAATTCCAATACAATGGGAGAAGGATGGAGATGGTTGTGCCCATGGTAGGCTCTTTGATGGGAGAAGGATGGAGATGGTTGTGCCCATGGTAGGCTCTTTGATGGGAGAAGGATGGAGATGGTTGTGCTCATGGTAGGCTCTTTGATGGGAGAAGGATGGAGATGGTTGTGCCCATGGTAGGCTCTTTGATGGGAGAAGGATGGAGATGGTTGTGCCCATGGTAGGCTCTTTGATGGGAGAAGGATGGAGATGGTTGTGCCCATGGTAGGCTCTTTGATGGGAGAAGGATGGAGATGGTTGTGCTCATGGTAGGCTCTTTGATGGGAGAAGGATGTTGATGGTTGTGCCCATGGTAGGCTCTTTGATGGGAGAAGGATGGAGATGGTTGTGCCCATGGTAGGCTCTTTGATGGGAGAAGGATGGAGATGGTTGTGCCCATGGTAGGCTCTTTGATGGGAGAAGGATGGAGATGGTTGTGCCCATGGTAGGCTCTTTGATGGGAGAAGGATGGAGATGGTTGTGCCCATGGTAGGCTCTTTGATGGGAGAAGGATGGAGATGGTTGTGCCCATGGTAGGCTCTTTGATGGGAGAAGGATGGAGATGGTTGTGCCCATGGTAGGCTCTTTGAAGGGAGAAGGATGGAGATGGTTGTGCCCATGGTAGGCTCTTTGATGGGAGAAGGATGGAGATGGTTGTGCCCATGGTAGGCTCTTTGATGGGAGAAGGATGGAGATGGTTGTGCCCATGGTAGGCTCTTTGATGGGAGAAGGATGGAGATGGTTGTGCCCATGGTAGGCTCTTTGATGGGAGAAGGATGGAGATGGTTGTGCCCATGGTAGGCTCTTTGATGGGAGAAGGATGGAGATGGTTGTGCCCATGGTAGGCTCTTTGATGGGAGAAGGATGGAGATGGTTGTGCCCATGGTAGGCTCTTTGATGGGAGAAGGATGGAGATGGTTGTGCCCATGGTAGGCTCTTTGATGGGAGAAGGATCGAGATGGTTGTGCCCATGGTAGGCTCTTTGATGGGAGAAGGATGGAGATGGTTGTGCCCATGGTAGGCTCTTTGATGGGAGAAGGATGGAGATGGTTGTGCCCATGGTAGGCTCTTTGATGGGAGAAGGATGGAGATGGTTGTGCCCATGGTAGGCTCTTTGAGTTGTGTCTATTGTTACATTCCCCAGCAAGAAAACCAAATAATGTCGCTGAAACAGAAGGGGGAACTAACAGAAGACCAACAACCAAAACGAAACAGGTGGGTTTAGGAGGGGTTCTGAAAGGCACTCATGGGGGTGTCCACTGGAAGATGACTAGCAACAACACCTGGGACCTAAAAGACCCCCACCATGAGACCCACCATGAGACCCACCATGACACCCACCATGACACCCACCATGAGACCCACCATGAGACCCACCATGAGACCCACCATGACACCCACCATGAGACCCACCATGACACCCACCATGAGACCCACCATGACACCCACCATGACACCCACCATGAGACCCACTATGACACCCACCATGACACCCACCATGAGACCCACCATGACACCCACCATGAGACCCACCATGACACCCACCATGACTCCCACCATGAGACCCACCATGACTCCCACCATGACACCCACCATGAGACCCACCATGACACCCACCATGAGACCCACCATGAGACCCACCATGACACCCACCATGAGACCCACCATGACACCCACCATGAGACCCACCATGACACCCACCATGAGACCCACCATGAGACCCACCATGACACCCACCATGACACCCACCATGAGACCCACTATGACACCCACCATGACACCCACCATGACACCCACCATGACACCCACCATGACTCCCACCATGACACCCACCATGAGACCCACCATGAGACCCACCATGACACCCACCATGAGACCCACCATGACACCCACCATGACACCCACCATGAGACCCACCATGAGACCCACCATGACACCCACCATGAGACCCACCATGACACCCACCATGACACCCACCATGACTCCCACCATGACACCCACCATGAGACCCACCATGAGACCCACCATGACACCCACCATGAGACCCACCATGAGGCCCACCATGAGACCCACCATGAGACCCACTAAATTTGCCCAAGAAGAGGTAAACTAAATTAAAACCCACACCAAACTTAAAGACATCAGATAAAGGATTGGTTTTTAGAAATCAAATAGGGAGCGCCAACTAAAGGTGTTAACCCTCCACCTCTCTCAAGACAACTGGAGCGTTGGGCCAGCCACTCTTAAAACAACTTCTGACTAACGAGGTGACGAGCCAGCACAGGTGTAACACATACTGACTAACGAGGTGACGCCAATCGGTGCGCCACACAACCGCGAAATATAAATGGCAAACCAAAGCCTGTAGCATCCATGCTAACACACGGACGCAAACAAGCGGAGTCATATCTTTAGTCATATTTCTCTTAATGTATGGCTCTGAGTGCCCCCCCTCCCCCACACACACATCCACTCACTCACTCACACACACACAATATGGCAGAAGAAAGAACATGTAAATAACATTGGAACACTAACTGGCTTATCCACTCACTACACTAATAACACTATAATTACAACACAAAACCATACACATCCAATACAAGTTAAAATAAAGTACAAATGGGACAAGTTTTTAGGCTAAAGATTACTTTACTATTTTTATATTTCTAATATGGGGACAGACATGATTGACATCAATCATTGCCACCGCATCCAGAATGACCTGTCTCTAGACTGCGCTACTCACTCAGTGGCACCGGTGCCGTTGACAGTGTTTCCATCCGGGATAGGGTTGAGTTGGATCGGTTCAGGCTTTCTTCTCTTCTTCATCCTGTCCTCTTTCGCTTGTTTATAAAAACGACAAACCGATCAGACAAAATAACCGGGGTGTTGTTCTGCTCCGCTGTTTACTTTACCGCTGTCTGTCGAAAACGATCCAATTCAGCTGGGTTTAAATAACTCACCCATATGACAGGTGAAATCGAATGTGAATCAGTAGAAATTATTGGCTAATTCACGCGGATACGCTCTGACTTTGTGCAAAAATAATCAGATATAAGAATACTGAACAGACTAGATGATATTGACAAAGATAGATGATTATTTTCTGGCTTCTCTACTTGTTAATGTGAAGATGGCACTGGTGGTGAATGGTTGTGAGATGTTACAACGCCAATATTTACACCGATATTCCGGACAGTGTAGTGTGGAGAAGCGCGTCGCCTATTGGACCACAGTGGTATTATCGTACTGTACACGAATAGCTCTCTACAAAATAACAGAAAAATAGGATTTCTTTACAAGACCAAAACCACTCAAGCCAAGAAGCTTAATGTTTCCTAGTTGAAAATCCAGTTCGATTTTTTTTCAGACATTTTAGAAGTGTGTATGCCTAGTGCTGAACAAACTAACCTTGATTATGGTAAGATTATTGTCTCCTGAGTGGCGCAGTGGTCTAAGGCACTGCATCGCAGTGCTAGCTGTGCCATTAGAGAACCTGGTTCGAATCCAGGCTCTGTCGCAGCCGGGAGACTCATGGGCGGCGCACAATTGGTCCAGGGTAGGGGAGGGAATGGCCGGCAGGGATGTAGCTCAGTTGGTAGAGCATGGCGTTTGCAACGCCAGGGTTGTGGGTTCGATTCCAGTATAAAAATATAAAACATGTATTCACTAACTGTAAGTCGCTCTGGATAAGAGCGTCTGCTAAATGACGTAAATGTAAAAGGCATGACTTAACATTAATTTCATTCTCTTTTTTTGTTGCTTTATTTCAACCTAATATCTGGCTTAGAGCGGATGGGTATTTATCTTTAATGGGCAAGTGTAACAGTGTTGCTTCCGTCCCTTTCCGGGCTTGAACCAGGGACCCTCTGCACACATCGACAACAAGTCACCCTTCGAAGCATCGTTACCCTATCGCTCATGACAAGCTGCAACTTTTGCAGAGCAAAGAGAAACAACTACTTCCAAGGTCTCAGAGCGAGTGCTGTCACCGATTGAAATACCACCAGCGCGCACCGCTAACTAACTAGTCATTTCACACCGGTTACACAAGTGCTTAACTAATGTGGCTCGATGGACCAGTGGTTAAGACACCGCACTATGGACCAAAGGGTTGTGGGTTCGAATCCCCCGTGGTACATTCCGTGTTGTGGTTGATCAGTGTAATCGGCAGTACTGAGTAAGTGTGCTGTTGTCAATGACACCACAGAGAATGGTTCTGGTGCTCACCGACAGGACCTAACAAGTTATTGGGATCCCTGTGCGATGGTTCCATACAAGCTTTGGCTGTAGTTTTCAGAATAATATTTTAGCAATATAATCTCACCTCTCGCTCACACACACACAACTGTTCAGAAATAAAAGTTGAAGCGTTTGACTTTCATTTCAACTCTTGGAACTAAATGTTTTGTTAGTTGATTGGTCAACAGATGTGGGTATATATGTGCTGTAGTCCAATAGAGGACGCGCTTCTCCACACGACAGGAAGTGGACGTGGGCTACTTATCTACTGTATGCGTTTGTTGAACCATACGGCTTATATGTGATATATATATACAGTATCTAATGGAGGTAACATAACAACCTCGACAGAACTGCAGGTATCAATACCGACACACTGTATCAGTCTCTTCTATCGTACCACGGTTGAATGGGTCAAATTGACATGAGCACAAATATAGCGTCTGAATCTGAGGCATTTGATAACACTTCATTTTTATTCACACTTCTCTTCTGGGTCACTGCGGCAGAAACATATAAGAGACCATTACTGTTATTAAGCTGTCGTTCCAAGCAATTTGCCTTGCCCCTTTTAAATGTAGTGACACACAAGGTGGCACAAGTACAATGGCAACGTTTTCACATTCTATCCAATTTAGGTAACTTTGCTGCAGAAAGGAAGTACGCAATAACTTTGGAACATAAAAATATGATTATTTGTCATACCATTAACAATGCATCTCTTCTTATACCATCATATTTCTGTTCTATTATATTCTATTATGTTCTATTGTGTTCTATTGTGTTCTGTTCTATTGTGTTCTATTGTGTTCTGTTCTATTGTGTTCTATTGTGTTCTGTTCTATTGTGTTCTATTGTGTTCTGTTCTATTGTGTTCTATTGTGTTCTGTTCTATTGTGTTCTATTGTGTTCTGTTCTATTGTGTTCTATTGTGTTCTATTGTGTTCTATTGTGTTCTGTTCTGATCTATTATATTGTGTTCTATTATATTCTGTTATGTTCTATTCTGATCTGTTCTATTCTGATCTGTTCTATTATATTCTATATCTCTCAACATATTAGCCTACTGCTCAGTTGTTTGTCAAACATCATGCAAGAATACTGTATTTTTGGCATGTTCACAAGATCAAATTAAAGACATGCTCCGGTACTTCGGCGACTAAGAAAGTGTTTTTTAAACCTCCCGCTTTGGGCTGGATCTGTCAATGTGTAGTTCATACATGCATAATCAATAAGTAGAATTACTGTCTTACCTCAATTAGCCACGAAATCCCTAGTTTGAAAGTGACTGTTTTCTTGAAGTTGTGCTGCGCCATTTTCCCTACATTTCCCCCCACATGGGCCAGCCCCCTAGCAATTTGAGTTCTAGCCAATGAGCTTCAACCCCTCGCCATTTGAGCTAGCAAGAGGCCTGCCCAGCGTTATCCAATGAGGTTGCAGGGTGGGCCCAACGGCTCACTGGACACAGCAGAGACAGGGTCAGTGCTATCTAGAACCCTAAACCCTAACCCTAACCCTAACCTTAACCATAACCCTTACCTTGACCATTTTAATTGTCAAATTCAATGGGGGTAGGGACATCCCAAGGATCCCGGATAGCACGGACCCAGCAGAGAGAGAGAGAGAGAGAGCAGTGACGTGGTACATATATCTGCACATACAAGTATGTGACGTAGTACGCAATTTTAACTTTTGAAACTTTTGACAACTTTTGGCTCGTGGACTCTACTTTCAGAACTACTGGTTAAAAGGTATACAAAAATACCGGAGAATCTCTTTAATTAAGATGAAGATGAATTAATTAAGCCCTTTTGATACCCAGCCACAGACTGAATGCATTGAAAGTGACATAGATAATTCGCATCTCCAAACGGCACCCTATTCCCTATATAGTGCACTACCAGGGCCCATAGAGCTTTGGTCTAAAGTAGTGCGCTAAATAGGGAATAGGGTGCCGTTTGGGATGCACCCATGCAGATGGAGAAGTACACAACATGTTGGTCAGCTGGAACCAACACAGTAGAACCTTCTGTCCTGAATACATTATTCATAAAGAGCGGTGCCGATCTAGGATCAATTCTGCCTTTAAAAAAAAAAAAAAAAAAAAAAAGATGAATAAAGAGACTTGTCCTAGATTGTAGATGGGCGCTCCTAATTTGAGACTAACGTGGGGCCCTGGTGTTCTGAAGAGATCTGCCCGCCTCCCAAACCATACCATATTCTCTACATAGTGCAGCACTGTTGACCAGGGTCCACAGGGCTGTAGTTAACAGGACTGCATTATACAGGGAGTAGGGTGTCAGTGTCTGTGTGAACAGGAGGTTGGTAGCGTCCTCTGTCTCTGTTACACCTCGGGGCTGATGACACAGCCTGCACCGCTGTAGATATCAGGTTGATGATTTCGTTCTGGCTGTTTTGTACGCCTGCGTCCCTTTTCCCAATTTAGTGTACAACTTTTGAACAATAGTTTACTGAGTATACCAAACATATTAGGAACACCTTCCTAATATTGAGTTGCACCCCCTTTTGCCCTCAGAACAGCCTCAATTCGTCGGGGCATGGGCTCTACAAGGTGTCGAAAGTGCTCCACAGGGATGCTGGCCCATGTTGACTCCGATGCTTCCCACAGTTGTGTCAAGTTGGCTGGATGTCCTTTGGGGGGGGGGGGGGGGTGGACCATTCTTGATACACACGGGGAAACTGCTGAGAGTGAAAAACCCAGCAGCGTTGCAATTCTTGACACAAACCGGTGCACCTGGCACCTACTACCATACCCCGTTCAAAGGCATTACAATTTTTTGTCTTTCCCATTCACCCTCTGAATGGCACACATACACAATCCATGTCTCAATTGCCTCAAGGCATAAAAATCCTTCTTTAACCTTTTACTGCAGTGGGCTAAATCAGGGTCACAAAGTGTTTCTTGGTAGTCTTAAACAAATCTACTTTGAAACAAAAGTATACACCTCACACACATGGTTATGGGCTTATAAAAAAGAAGACACCTGCACCATGTCAGATATAGAGTAGAAATGTATTCCTTTTGAGGTTGCATCCCAATATTACACTTTATATACATCACAGAAGACTGAAACATAACAGAACTGTTTGACATAGAAACACCGGATTTTTGTCGTAAAATAAAAATAAAATCTTTATTAATTATGAAATTATGAAAAATATGAATAACATTCCACCCATGAGGCCAAAGAAGGCACTTTTGGTCATTAACTGCAGGAAAGGCCTGTCTCCTCCCTTTCATCTACACTGATTTGAAGTGGATTTAACAAGTGACATCAATAAGGGATCATAGCTTTCACCTGGATTGACCCGGTCAGTCTGTGTCATGGAAAGAGCAGGTGTTTTTAATGTGTTGTACACTCAGTGTATAGCCCTAATGGTTCTCAAACCTCTCCCCGGGGACCCCCATATGTTTCACAATATTGCTGTAGCCCTGAACTAGCTCACCTGATTCACCTGTTCAAGGGTTTGACGATTGGTTGACAAGTTGAATCAGGCTCTGGAA